CATTGTTTCCAGGAGACCACTGTAGTATATTCTAGCTGTCAAGTAATGGGCCTAGAAGCACTGCAAGTCTGCATACTTGAACAACCAGTAGAGGCTGATCCCCATAAGAGGCCTGCTTCCCATTCACTCCGGGTCATGAGAACTGCTGGTTAAAATAATTTCAAGCCTTGTTTAGATTCAGCTTCAGTAACCTCAGCCATATAATGCCTCCAATAATACATAAAGCACCATGAATGTATTTGCCTTCTTATACAAATAACGTTTCCAACAACTATATTGACAAAAACACAAATGAAAATATCACAATGTAACACAGAGAACAACCATCACTTAGTATTTTAGATGAACATAAAATCATCTTCTCATTGTCTCACAAGTTCAGAAGTCTCACACTGGGAACCACCAGCATTTAGGTTTATAAGAGCAACCTCCAAAGTTTCTTGGGAAGAAACTATTTTTAGCAGGTGAGCTTCAGCAATATGGTGAAGTTTTCACATGAGTCAAGGAGGCTTCTTAGGACAAAGGACCTGAATTGATTATATACATCCTCTTAAATACAGTCTGTTTCTGAGAAGCAAGATCAATTCAATCGATAATAGTTCTAGCCACTGCTGAGAGATAGAAGATATTCTTGTGACCCATTTTTTAAAAAACAGTGCATTCTTAAAACAAAGGCACCCTACTGACAGATGGTGGAATTTTACTTCTGGCCAAAAGATATATATTTAATAACAAGCCTTGATGAAATAATAGGGCTACTCAAACAACTGTTCCAAACTTGTATTCCTACAGTACCAAACACTATCCTCCTGATGAAAAGGTGTGAGAAAGGAAAACTTAGAGGTGATTTTTATAGGATAACGAAGGACGCCTATGTCTCAACTAAAAAGTGGACAAGTCAATTAAAAATCTGAGTTGGCTAAATTAGACAGTCATGTTGCATAAATCTATCTCTATAAGTCAAGGTGTTACAGACAGTTACATGGACTAAATCACTGCTGCACGCACTAATACTGACATGTATTTTCAGCCTGTGGTGTTCAAAAAGCATACTGTCTGAAGTACAAAAGGTTTATGCTGTAAAGTTTATACATAAACTCATAAATCCCCAGAGCAAACTTCTAGAGTTTATTAAAACACTGGGATTGAGAATAATGCAGAAAAGAATCACTTGATTCTCTTAGAAGTTTGAAGACTTCTAACAATCTTCCCCTTTTGGTTAAACTATGATGAGACACATGAAGGCAGCAAAAATAACACAAATGCCAACTTTTAGAACCACAGTATATTATCAAGGTGCTTTTAATAAAAGGCTCAGAAGGGCAGACATGTGGTGGCAGTTAATATGTGAAGGTATAGGATATCACGAAATAAATAAAAAAGAGGATTTAGCCTGACCTCACTGCAGCATCTAAAATCCTTGAGAGAAGCAAACTACAATGGGATTCATAATAGTTCTTCATTCTTCTTAGAACCCTCCAAACCTTGCACCCAAACAGAAGCAAACTACGCATACTACTTGAATATTGTTCCAAGTTTCTTATTTGAGATTGTTCAGTAGAAAAGTGAAACACTACAGCTCAATGTGCACGTGACACCAAACCAAATCATGACTTAACATGGACAGCAGCTGCACTACCCCTCCCCCAGTCCTGCTACTGCTGCACTGCTGTAAACTGTAGGCATAGGCAAACTTGGCCCTCCAGCTGTTTTGGGACTACAACTCCCATCATCCCTAGCTAACAGGACCAGTAGTCAGGGATGATGGGAACTGTAATCCCAAAACATCTGGAGGGCCAAGTTTGCCTATGCCTGGCTTAGTGTGTCCTCTTGAATTGGGCCTGTTTGTGTCCTTCAGACCCTAAGCTGTAAACCAAGTGGAAACTTAGGCTAGAGCTTGTGGTCTGTCTGAAGTGAGATAAAACCACAAGTCTGGGTTTAGATGATACACCAAACCAAGGCTCAGTGTAACAGCAGGAGCAAAGGAGCTGTGAACTCTTCTCCAGGAACCTTCACATTTGCATGTTAATGGTAGATAATAGTTTGGCTTAGTGTTGGGTATGAACTGGATCACGGATATCTTTTGGAGTTCAGTTAAGCTCACTTGCAGCTAAGTGGTCTCTTTTGTCTGCTCCCGGTTTGTATTCCTTTGCCTTTAACGTTTACCTCCCAAGCCCCAGTAGCAGTAGCGTCTCATTTGTGCTCCTGCAAGATCCTGGCCTTGATAGATGTTTAACAAAAAGTTCATGGCAAAACTATGCCAGTGTTTCCCAACCGGTGTTCCGCGGCACACTGGTGTGCCGTGAGACCTTGCCTGGTGTGCCGTGGGAGGGAGGCGGGAGAGGCGGCGCCCGAGATCGCTTCTCCCCACCGCCCCTTGCTTCAAAAGAGGTCCGAGATCGCTTCTCCCCACCGCCCCTTGCTTCAAAAGAGGTCCGGGGACAGCGGGAAGCGCTTCGCGCTGCCCCCGGACCTCTTTTGAAGCAAGGGGCTGCGGGGAGATCGCTTCTCCCGCTGCTCCGAAGCGGGGCGGCGGGAACACCTGCCCCAGCCGCCCCGCTTCGGAACACTGCTCCGAAGCGGGGCGGGGGGCGGGAACACCTGCCCCAGCCGCCCCGCTTCGGAACGCTGCTCCGAAGCGGGGCGGGGGAGGGGCGGGAACACCTGCCCCAGCCGCCCCGCTTCGGAGCGCTGCTCCGAAGCGGGGCGGTGGGGCGGGAACCTCTCCCCCCGCCGCCAGGCATCGGAACGATGCCCCGATGCCGGGCGGTGGGGCGGGAACCTCTCCCCCCGCCGCCCGGCATCGGAACGATGCCCCGATGCCGGGCGGTGGGGCGGGAACCTCTCCCCCCGCCGCTGGGCATCAGAACGATGCCCCGATGCTGGGCGGTGGGGCGGGAACCTCTCCCCCCGCCGCTGGGCATCGGAACGATGCCCCGATGCCGGGCGGTGGGGCGGGAACCTCTCACCCCGCCGTCGGGCATCGGAACGATGCCCCGATGCCGGGCGGTGGGGCGGGAACCTCTCCCCCCGCCGCCCAGCATCGGAACGATGCCCCGATGCCGGGCGGTGGGGCGGGAACCTCTCCCCCCGCCGCCGGGCATCGGAACGATGCCCCGATGCCGGGCGGTGGGGCGGGAACCTCTCCCCCCGCCGCCCGGCATCGGAACGATGCCCCGATGCCGGGCGGTGGGGCGGGAACCTCTCCCCCCGCCGCCCGGCATCGGAACGATGCCCCGATGCCGGGCGGTGGGGCGGGAACCTCGCACCCCGCCGCCGGGCATCGGAACGATGCCCCGATGCCGGGCGGTGGGGCGGGAACCTCTCCCCCCTCCGCCCGGCATCGGAACGATGCCCCGATGCCGGGCGGTGGGGCGGGAACCTCTCCCCCCGCCGCCCGGCATCGGAACGATGCCCCGATGCCGGGCGGTGGGGCGGGAACCTCGCACCCCGCCGCCCGGCATCGGAACGATGCCCCGATGCCGGGCGGTGGGGCGGGAACCTCGCACCCCGCCGCCCGGCATCGGAACGAGGTCCTGGACCTCTTCTGAAGGCAGGCAGGGGCAAAAGTCTTTGCTCCCCCCGCCTGCCTTCCCGGGACAGCGGAGACTTCTCCGCTGCCCCGGGCGATCTTAAAATGCTGGCGGGCGGGAGCGAAGCGTTCGCTCCCGCCCCCCAGCATTTTAAAATCTCCTCGGGGCAGCGGAGACTTCGCTCCCGCCCGCCAGCATTTTAAAATCGCCCCGGGACAGCAGGGGCTTTTAAAATGCTGGCGGTCGGCAGCAAAGCCCTCCTGTCCCCGGAGCTTGCGGGGCGGGAGGTGGGAAGAAGGGCTTTTCTTCCCACCGCCAGCCTTCAGAACAGCCTTCTGAAGGCTGGCAGTGGGAAGAAAAGCCCTTGTCCCCCCCCCCAGCCTTCAGAAGAGGTCGGGGGACAGACTGTCCCCGGACCTGGTCTGAAGGCGGTTTCCCTAGGAACGCATTAATTGATTTTCAATGCATTCCTATGGGAAACCGTGCATCGCAAGACGAAAAACTCGCAAGACGAAGAGACTTGCGGAACGAATTAATTTCGTCTTGTACTTTTTATATAGTCAATATAGGCACAGAGTTAAATTTTTTAACATTTTCTAATGGTGGTGTGCCTCGAGATTTTTTTCATGAAAGAAGTGTGCCTTTGCCCAAAAAAGGTTGGGAAACACTGAACTATGCAATCTTTTTGTGTTTCCTTACGGAAACGGTAAAAAGTAGTTCCCTGCTCAATGTATATTTTACAAGAGCCCATTTACAAGTTCTCTCATTTTAAAGAGAAATTGAAAATTGGTAGCTGCTGCATTTTTATTGCATAACAAAAGCTAAGTCAGAATTTCATAAATCATTCCTTTTTCTCAGGGCAGAGGGGCAGCTAAAGATGTTAAGAAGAAGTAGTATTCCTTAACACCTACAATTCATTAAACAATCACAACACCTTCTTGATTTGAATTCAGAATCACAAAGTATACCCTGTAACATTTTAACAGCTCATCAGAAGAACACACAACATGAGGCAATTTCCAGATTGCGCTAAGATAAAACATTTGGAAATATTTAAGAAAAGGGCACAGTGATCTTTGTATCTCATGAATGAAGAAAAGTGAACTTCAAAAAACTTTCATGGTAGAGGATCAGAAGGTGAAGATTGATAGCTGTCAAAATGGGTGCCTTGCTTACCTTTGTAACCCATTATAGAAACCTGGTAACTCACCCTGACAAAAGAAAATTAATTCCCTTTTGTTAAGAAAACATTACTCTAGTTACTTACATTTAAATCCACAGGATAAAGTTATGTGGCAAGTCAATAAATGGATCAAACCACTGTTTCTGAAGCAATGCTTTCCTCAATTTAGATTTATTTTTTTAAAAAAGTTCTGTATTAAGAGGTCATTCATTACAGCCACAATGAGAAAGTGATGAAGATGAAACTGTAATCCACTCTGGAAAAGGTCACAGCATCAAACCTACCTGACTAGATTTTCATTATCCCCCGTTCCCTTACATGTGGCACATTCGGTTCTTAAATCTTCAGACTTAGGCTTCTTTTGTACTACAGACTGTCTCTGTCTTCTTTCTCTCGGAATACGTTCCTATCAATAGGTGGAAACAGAAAAAGGTGGAAGAAGAGCACAAGTCTTATTTCAGCAACATTATTCATTCAAATGTCAACATTTTCACCAATTTAACTGAAAATAAATTAATTTCTCAAAATCCCAACCTCAGGTTTTTCTTCTTCAGGAATGTAGCTTCGTTTTCGTCCTCGAGTTCTCTAAAAGTAAATATATTTTAAAATTAATGGCATTCAAGTGGAACAGAACAAACCTAGACACCAAGCATGCATGACCTGCTCGTTGTTTCATCTATTTGTGGAATTTAGGGGTGAGTACCAATCCTTAGACAAAATGGCACAGATGAGGTATCAGCAGGCTTGAGTGAAACCCCAAAATCTGTAGAAGTATCAAAAATCTTATGGGGGAAAATGTAAGGAGGGAAGGAAACAGTCCAATGAAGACTGGGTTTGCTCAGCAATCACAGAACACTTGAAAAAGTTGGAAAAGAAAAAAAAGGGGGGGAGTGGAATCAGTTGGCTGGGAATGGCTAGCGAAGAGGAAGATGTGGCTGCTTCATCCTAGAACATTACCAGATCTTCTAATGCATCAAGAGAGACATTCACACAAACATGTATCTTACATGTGTATTCGCTACAGGCTAATTTTGGGGAAGTAGCAGAATTACTCCTCACTGAAACTTTTTTTGGAGACGACTGCATGCACATGAAAAGAACTGTATTGGTTTTGATAACCTTGCTTGATTTGGGGGATTTAGAACAGACCAGCCTAAGCGTGCGTTGCTCTCGAAAGCCAGAAATAAGTGCTGCAATTCTAACATTTCTTTGTAAATGAATAAAGGTTTAAAGGTGGTAACTTGCTAATATAAAACAATTTAGAAGTTACAAAAGCAACCTTGCAGATTTGACATACCACAACAGAAACAACACAGAAAAGAATGGATTAATACATATTGCCTGAGCCATATGCTTAAATGTTACTTGAAAGATACTGAGAAGGGACTAAAGGCGGAAGAGCTGCCTAACAGGGATTCATGAGGCAGAGTCTTAAAGATCCAGCTTTGCTTTGGATCAAGAACCACCTTGGGGGGAAAGGTTACATGTACAGGCAATTGCATACATATTAGTTGTGCCTAAAATGGGGGCTGCCTGTAGCAGAAATCCTGTTTTGCAACAACTAGGTTAGAGTAAGACTGGGAAGATACAGGAAATGAATCTGGCAGTGAATTCTGAATCTGAAAACTAAAATGTGCTGGCAGCCTATATTTTGTAACCATTAACACTTTAAATTATCTTTCTGCTAATAGACAGAGTACTTTGTCCCCTGAGATTCTGGCAAAAACAGTTCATATGCCTAAACAGAGAAGAGGGTCATACTGTGATGTAAGAGCATTGATCACTCCATCCCATGATCATTCCATTCCAGCTTTGGTATGCTTCTACAAAAGATGTGCAACCAGTTGATGGCAACATGTATATATTCATGTCTCCAATCAAAAAATCAACAAGGTATTTCATTTGCCATAATCTGGATAAAAAATACTGTGCAACAGAACCACCTCTATACTGCAAAAGCTTAATACTCTATTTATTTCCGAAATAGTAAGCTATGTTTTCCAAATCAATCTTTAAGTACCTGCTCAGCTTAAGGTACTTAAATACCATTAAAAACATTTTAAGCAACAAGAATTAGCCCCCCCCCCCGTTAAACCCACATATTGTGTGTGCTGAAGATACACTAACTGTTTTAAGATACTACGGGTCTGATAGCTGGTAGATATTGCCTGTTCTTAACTTCTTGTAGGGAAGAGAAAAGAACCAATAGTTTATAACTATCTCCAATGCCTAAGATGTCTCTTATATATATGTGTATATATAGTACAAACACATGCTAAATTTATGGCTTTTAAAAAACTTCGTACCAACATAAAATGATTTTCCCACCCCCAAAATAAAAGAGGTTGATGGGTGGGCTCTTGTCTCATGGGGTTCACATATAAAATGCTTACAAAACATTAGTGGAGACTGCATTATTATGTCTACGTTGATTAAATGTATTCCTTATACATGAAACAATTAACAATGAAACTCATAAAGGGCACATATAGTTGGTTGCACACACATGCCTTGAAAATTTACGCCACCAGTTGCACATGCACTTCTTGAAAATTCAGTGAGACATTAAGTGCAAAAAGTGCCTCTGAACTAGGGGAATTCCAATTGTTCAATGTTAACTAGGGCAATTAAAGCAAGCCCTATTGTCAAATTATACAGCTTTAAATTGATGCAGACTGAAATGCATACAAAGACTGATGCCAACAGCTATTGGCAGACAGTCCTGAAGCATACTAATTATATATCAGCATTAAAAGACATATGGAAATACCAAAACTTTTTTTAAAAAATATATATAAAACAAGCATGGAAAACAAATTGTTGATTCAAGCACTCCATTTATAAAAATGGAAATCTGCAACATATTTCAGCAAAGTGCAACACCATCTGCTTTCATTGGCCACTAGCATACAGCAGATGGAACGGTTATCACACCAGAAGAGGCAACTATTTCAACACTGCCAATTGGTGGTGCAACATAATTTAATTTAGTTTACACTTACAATGTCAAGGAAAGGAAACCAACTAAAAAGCATGAAAGGGCTCAGCGAACCAAAACAACATTCCTTAGGTTTGCAGATCAAGCAAACAAGTCACATCCAGAAGTCCAGATTGAGATAAATGAGCAATCTTTTTACATGGCAATATTAATAGCACCATTCAGGGAACAATAAATCTATTTCACAACATTATAAAAAGCTTGATCAACCCTGGTCAGGAGTGCATGTACTCTGGTATCTTGTCTGACAGAGATCATTTCTGGACACTGAAGGAAAACGATTATGCATTATTATGAAACTTCAATCTTTATCCATCACTTCCAGACTATGGCGATTTATGTTCAAAAATGTTCTTCGCTAGAAGTGCTATGCCCTTCTCTCAGTTGACACTCCTTTCAATTAGGTCTGCTGGTCATTTCTAGAACCTATTTACTTGCCAATATCAGAACCTGATTGCTGTAAAAGGAATTATATAAGAAGATTTAAACCAGTGGCATATATAATGGGGGGTCCTCTAAAATTAGCATTATATAAAATAATAAGTACCACCTAATGTATATTTCAAATAATTTATTACTTTCACACACTAAAACTTCTCCCAGAGATGCCTGAGAATTTTGTTTGGTCCATATTTTTTAAAGTAAACAGACCTGCTTCACATCTCCTGGACTATAACTTATTTAAATTTTGATTTTCACACTTTTCCAAATATTGAGACATACTGCTCAGTTCTAAAAATATGTCAAAATGCGTATTTTAGGGTAAAACACATTGGGCAAGATTATGATTTTTAATCAGTTTTTTAAAAGACACCATTTGCAGATTTATGCAGAAACAGAGCAGGAGATTCCAGGGCGTTGGACTAGATAATCCTCAGGGTCCTTTCCAACTCTATAATTCTATGATTCTACGAACAGACTTACGAATGAATACATAAGTGCTTTACATGTAGAAGGTTCCAGGGTCTATCTCTGGCATACTGGTTACAATAGTCAGGGTAGCAGGTGAAGCAAAATACCTCTATTGGGAACTCTGGAGAGTTGCCACTAGTCACAGTAGAGGGGACTACGCTAGACAAATTATGATGATGATTGTTTACATGTCCAAATGGCTTCTAAGTGGTCTACAACTATAAAAACAATTATAAAATCCATACATAATTAAAATACACAATAAAACAGTTCAATCAAAGCATTAAAACATTCTTAATTAAGACCTGTAATAAAACAAGTCAGTGAAATTAAAACAATTAAAAAACAATTTAAACAATGAGATCAGAAGGTCAAATTTAGGAGAATGCTTGCCTAAAGAGGTGTGCTTTTCAAGAGCCGACAGAACGCCAATACTGATGGAATTTCAGCAGGGAGGATATTCCACAAAACTGGTTTCACCAGTGGAAAAAATCCATCCAAAAGCCTGTAATCAGCAGGGCCCTAGCAAAACAGAATTCTATTTACTGATCTTAATGCCATCAGTAAGCAATGGAGGAGAACATGGTTTTTCAGGTAACTTGGTGTGCAGTTATTTAGGGCTTTCTATATAAGTAGCAGAACCTTAAAACTGGCTCAGTAGCAAATAGGCAGCCAGCGCAATTCCCTCAGCACTGGTGTGATATGTCCCCAATAAAGAGCACCACTCACCATCTGGACGCCACTAGTTGCAGCTTCCAGGTCAGCTGCAAGGAAAGACCCATGTAGAGTGCATTACAATAGTCCAAAGTATGAATCACAGTGGCCAGGTTATGCCTGTCCAGTAAAGGATGCAGCTGACACATCAGCCAAAGCTGGTGACAGGTGTTCTTCACCAGAGGACACTTGGGTCTCTGTGGAACAAAGATGGTTCCAAGATCACTCCTAAGGTGTATACTTGTGCCTTCAGAGGGAGTAGAACCCCATCTAGAACAAGCAAACTCAGTCTCACTGATGTGGTCCAAAGGAAAGCAGAGAAGTTTGGCACCAGCTGGGCTGCAGGAGTTGTCAGAAGAAGGCATACATGGCACCACCCAACCATCTTAGGAACTCCACTCTGGATTTGTATAGGGTTTACTTTTTAGCCTTTTCTTCCTCCAAAGATGTCCCACAAGGCAGCAGGGATTTAGGATATTTTCCTTCTCCTAGATGGGCGACCTTCCCAGGTTGACGAGCCCCATCTGCCCCTCACTTCCCTCTACGGTGCTTTCTTGACTGTTGGATCCACAATTGGTCTTATCCGCTCAATCGACGAGAGCCTGTCTTCACATGTACAGTGGTACCTCGGGTTAAGAACGTAATTCGTAATGAAGATCTGTTCTTAACCTGAAACTGTTCTTAACCTGAAGCACCGCTTTAGCTAATGGGGCCTCCTGCTGCTGCCGCGCTGCCGGCTCACGATTTCTGTTCTCATCCTGAAGCAAAGTTCTTAACCCCAGGTACTATTTCTGGGTTAGCGCAGCCTGTAACCTGAAGTGTATGCAACCTGAAGCATATGTAACCCGAGGTACCACTGTAGTGGAGATCCCTACCTCACTGAGGGTTTGAGAACCTTCACTTGGTTTAGCTGCCCAGTCAATGCTGTTCCAAGGGTTTGGCCACTGTTGCAAGCTAACAGCTTCTAGTAGCCACAGGTGAGCAATAAGTGCCCTGGCCCAACCTTAGAAAACCACATACCAATGGGTGCTGCCTGTTGTTCTTCATTGGAAAAGCACTGGTTTACAATGCTGTATAGATTTCTTCAAAACTAATTCTCCCATTTCTCATACCATTTCACATTGATCCATAGTGTTTTAGCAGATCAAGGAGCATCCTACAAGGACCATACAATGCAAGTACAGAGGGGTTGGTGGCAACTTAATGGTCCTATTAGCAAACAGACAAGCACAGCTCTCTGTGTCTGTCAAACTGGCAGTATTTCTGCCAATTAGAGAGAGAGCTCCTTTGCTTCTTTTTGGAAAGTCATTATGGACAACTGAACATTGCTTATAATGTAAACCTTCTAACATAGATCAGCTCTATAAAACAGTCTTTCTGCTGCTAAAATGGTGTGAATTTTTTTTAATGGTTGGTCAAGCCTAAAATCAGCCAGAGACAAGCTGTTAACCCCAATATATGTAAGGAAATTAGGTAATTGGTTTCAGACAGCTCCAAAGCCTATCCACTGTTGAGAAAGATGCTGTTAGGGTTTCCTTTCCTTGGGAAGATAGTGGGACTTTTCTTTATTATTTTAAGAAATCCCCTCGCCAAGAAATCATGTCAGTTGTCAATCTGCCAAAATTACAATGCAGTGAAAAGTATTTATTTAAAGCTTGGTCTTTGAATGGCTAGCTAAACTTTAATCACGTTTTAAAGCTGTTTTAAATATGATGGTGAAATTTGAATTCCCCCCTTTTACTGTTTTATTGCCTGTGTTTGATCGACACTTTAGCCACTTTAGAATTTACATGGTAAGCTAGAAATTTAGTGAATAGAAAAGTGGAGGGCATTCATGTTTTAGAATGCGAAAGTGCAGGACAGTTGGGAGGTGGACATACTGCCTCCAGCACCTTGCCTACCTCAGCTGATTGCATAAGCTGAAACTGATCCTACACCTCATCCTCAATAATGACACTGGGTACTTCAACTAGAGTCGTAAGAAGTGCAGAGTCAACATCACTCTGAAGTTGAGCGACTTTATCTTCAAAGTGAGTAGCCAGTTGGTCACATCAGATCTTTTGAGTGTTCCAGCAATCCCTTCCCCAGTGGGAATCAGTAACCTAAGGACCATCTAAAATAACTCTGCTAGTCAGCTACAAGAAGATGCAATGCAAGCTGTAAAATTAGCCTTTTTTACAGCCTAAAAATACTGAAAATATTCACACCTGCTAAAGCTCATCAGCCTGATCTGCCACCCTCCATCCCCCCCAATTTAGATTTTAGCTTTAGGGTCATAGTTTTAGCACCTGGTATTTTATATTTCTTTAATTAAAATCAAATGTAATTAATTCAGACTTGCATCATGAAAACTTTGACCATCTGTGGAAGGGTTTTCATCTACCACTGCCCTTGGGTTGACATCCTAAAGATATATTACTATGTCTTGTAGCATCTTACTGATGACTTGTTCACCAATTATAACCAAGACAGTTTCTAAAAGGATAACTTTAAAGTGGGAGTAAAGAAATGCAAACCTGAGTTTACATGGAGGGATTTCTTGACTGTGATCCCCATTTATGAAGGTTCTCTCTAAGAGACTCGACCTGGTGCAGACTCTTGATGTCCTTTTGGCACCGCACAATGACTTCTTGATTTTCCCAGACACTTATTTATATCTGTGGAAGAATTGTTTTAACTGCTGCTTTCATTCTGCTCTTTCTTCACTATTATATTTATTTATTATCTGGTGATTTTATTGTTTTAAGTGTGAAATAAAAGCGAATAAAACCTAAAAACGGTTTTTAAAATCTGATTTCTGAATGAAAAGGAAGATATTCAATGATAAAGAGCAAAAATGTCAGGTCAAAGAGGATCAAAAAGTTAGACAGTAGGTGGCACAGTTGAACAGTTCTTGAGCAGCTTACCAGTATCAGGACCAATCAAAATTTTGGAACTTTATTTCCATTTCGGGAAGAAAAAATAGATAACTATGGGCTGGGCAAGGCAGTGCTAACAAAGAATGTACAACTGGTAAGATTAGAGAGGTCAATGTTGCTCCTACTCTGAGCAAACTCATTGAAAACAATGTACATGCCTAATGTACACTGTACATTCAATGTAAACACATCAAAATTAATGAACCTGTTATTGACTACAACCAAAAGTTTCTACCTCAAACTTAAAATTAAGTAGCAATAATAAAATAAATGATACAAATGAAACAAAAACTAACTATGGGATGGGGAATTGACTGAAATGCAGTTGGTGTAATTAATTGCAATATAATGGAATAAATGGGAGAGATATTCAAGTACAGGCAAGATTGGCAGTTGTCATACCACGTAAGCAAAGGAAGTACAGATTTTTGAAATTTCAACAAATATGCTGTAGTGAAAAGTTTGTTCATACTTCAATGTCTGGAGTTGGCATTTTGCTACTTAAATTCATCTAACTCATCTGGCTAGGGCAAGAACAAATGGCAAGTGTTTTTGCAATTATCTATGTATATTTCTCTCTCTCTCTCTCTCTCACACACACACACACACACACACACACACAACACAAACACACATATTAATAATATTGTTTTGACAAAATGCACTCCTTAATCATGAGGGCTTGCACTTTGTTTTTTAAAGAGATAGAACACAAATTGCTTTTTTTATCCAGAACAGTACTCCCTCTTCTTAAACAGAAACACAGAATGCTGTCATGCATTAATAAAGGCAATATAAACAGTACTAGACGGAGAACGTTTTCTATAAAATAGCACTTAATCACCCACAGCAGGCCACAGTCTACACAGAGAAGGTTAATCTTGTCAAGGCAAGCAAACCACACAAGCATCCCAGAACGAGGGATTTAAGTGACTCAAGTTTATTGTCTAACTTTGACAAGCTGCTGCGGTAAGACCTCATTAAAAATAGATTAGTTACAGCATACATAACATGTTTGCCACAAGACAAATTTACTGGATAAATATAAAAATTCTCTCATACACCTTTGCCTCAGAGGATCAGAACAAAGTTTGCAAAAGCATCAAGTAACTTTGCTTTGCTATTAGAGAGGGAAGCAAACCCTCCCAACGTTCTATGTCCCAGGCAAGCATGTCAGCGTTTGGGAGAGGGTAGGAACAAACAGCCACCCAAACCCATTCTATTGAAAATGCGTCCACCCACTACTCTGAAATAATTTGCTTCTTCAAAGAAGCACAGGCATGACTTACTCAGCCAAGTAAATGTAAGCACAGAAGGAGGTATCCAACTGTGGTGTCCTGTTTGTGCAAGCGGAACTTCGCCGCCTCCCAAGTAGCCCCAAAGTATTTTTCAGAGGGCCAATGGACAAAGGAAGGGGAATCCCATTGTGTCCACTAGTATGGCACTGGATCCCACCCAGAAGCATTTTCTCAAGAAGAAAGTGTCTTGCAATTCCTCCACATTCATAGGCGTGGCAGAATACAGTGGTACCTCTGGTTATGAACGCTTCTGGTTACGCACACTTCAGGTTACGAGCTCCGCTAACCCGGAAGTAGCTGCTCCTGGTTGCAAACTTTGCCCCAGGATGGGAACAGAAATTGTGTGTCAGAGGCGAGCGCAGTGGGACGCCCCATTAGCAAAAGCACGCCTCAGGATAAGAACAGTTTCAGGTTAAGAATGGACCTCCGGAACAAATTAAGTTCGTAACCAGAGGTACCACTGTAAATTATGAGCACACGTATTCATATGTATACACATTTGCATGGCCTACTTTTGACACATGACCATCTCAGAACACAGAGCAGTGACCCTTGTATGAAAGTTGCTGTTGAGTTAATATTTATCAGAATGTGCAGAACAAAAGTCTGGACATGCAACATGAAAATAAGGGCATTTATTCCTTACCACTAGAAATTCGTAAGGAACCACTTTGTGAGTTTTAATGTTTTTAAATATGCTTATTTGCTGCCACCCTCCGCAAACTTTAATAGTCAAAGATATATAAAATAAACCTAAAAATAAAATCTTCAGGGTATTTTATGTTTCATAGCTGAAGCAAGTATCTGATGTCTAACATGTTTCACATGTCTTTGGGGAAAAAGCTAGAACATAATAAATTACATTCATCTTTCACATAGAGGTTCTTGGCACTTAAAAAAAAAAAGCAAATTAAAAAACAGGAGACAGATTTGTGCCGCTCTGACCGAGCTGTCATTTACCGTGTTTCTGACAGGAATCTTCTTTGGTTCTGGGGGTACATCCTGTGGAACAAATTTCACTGGCTCCTTAATCTGTCTCCTTGATCGCTTAGTTCCATCTGGTAAAGTTTCCATGGCAATGTCGGCTTCCATGTCACTGCTACCTGCTTGGTCGCACTCTGAACACTGCCTGGGAGGACAAAAAAAAAATCAAACTCAAGACAGCAGCTGCTAAAGCATAATAAGAGCATGCAGGCTGAAAAGCAAGAGCCAAAGACCGAAAAGGGTAATTCTTACAGTGTAAAAGAGCCTCAAATACAAAGAGAAAGACTTATACATGCAACAAGACTTTTGCTTCTCTGAATGGTACATCCCATGATACCAAAAGCTACTACTTACACTCAAGTTTAAAAACAGCTTGCACAGGAGCGTTTGGGGTGAGGGGAGAAGAGGGCTGTTTGGGGGGAAATAGCTTAACTCTGTCCTGTGCTCTGGGGTTCCAAGCCACGGTACATGTATAGAGATATCTATCACTCAGCAAGACTCTTCTCCATCTTCCACCATTAAAGGATCCAGTAGCCAACATTCATTGGAAACAGAATTGCTTTGCAGAGGGGGGAACCAATTAATTACTTCAAATAGGCAATCCTATGCAAACGGACTAATGATGAGATACCATTTAGCATAAATCCAGAGTTTGCTGCAAAGAAGTTTGGGGGCGGTCCCTATCAGCAACACTTTAGTCACACATTAAATTCTCCTAGAATACTTAAGAAAATTAATTCAGACAAAGATGATCTTGGAACGAATATTTTAAGCATTTTAGCTGTGATTTGCAAATGTTAATCAATTATTGTTTCTGAACAATTGCACTGATGGAAAACATTGAGACTACAAGCCTATGTCAATAATGCCTATCAACTAGAGTCCACATTTTACTCTATAGGTGGATAAAGCAGAAATTCTGCTGTACCTTAACTATTAAACCCTTTTTTATTTTTTGCAGGGGCTAGGAGACACTATTAATCTGCTACAAACCCCATCAGTTTGCAATCCTAAAGCTTCCACTAGAGAGTAGGCCCCACTGGATTCAGTGCATATTCATTCTGAGTAAACATATTTAGAATTGGGGCAACTGGAAATCAAAGTTTAACATAAAAGCAAAACCTGAGGCCCTCTCTGCCACAAAGTAAATTAAGGCCTATGCCGGTATTGACCTGTGGCATAAAGAACCTATTTCCTAATATAGTTGAAATGGCCTCTTTAAAATGACAAAGACAGAATACAGTGGAAAATGGCCCGATCTGACTGTGTCTGCACTCAGAATTGCTCTCTTGTATCATCCACTTATATAGTTTCCATTGCTAACAGAGCATTTGACTTGCATTGCTGGTGCCTTCTCATGCACACATATGTAATACACAATTCCTTTTTCTCATGCTTTCATTCATGAGGCCGGAAAAGTTATGCTGTCTATGGAACCTGTGAAAAGAAGTCAATCTTCCTAAATTGACTTTTAAAAAAATGTATATTAAAACCCACGTTTCCAAGGATTGTTACAGCTACATAATGCAAGCATGAAATGAATAAAGTAAAGAAGAAGCTGTGAACAAGGAAAGGGAGAACACAAAGCATTGAATCCTTTTACATGTGACGACAAATCCTACAATATATAGAGCTTCCTGCACATATTACATTCAGCTATAAATTTCAGCATTTTCATTCTTCCTCAATACACAGCTGTTACAATCATATATGTACCATGCTAGGGCAATGGCATAGAAGCTTATTGGCCTCCCAGCCCAGAAATCCAATTAGGAAATGTGTCAGTTTGCAAACGGCCACCAACAACCACTATCACCAACTTCAACCCAAATTCTATCAATAGTAAAAATAAAATAATAATAATAATAATAATAATAATAATAATTTTTTTAAAAAAAATTGGTACTACATACTAGATAATAATGAACAGAGCTGGTGTTCCAGGGGTTAATGGGAGTAACATTTGAAACACCAGGTGTACTACAAACATCAGGGACAATGTTCTGTTGAACTTAACACATATAGTTATACATTCTTTCTACTGATCTTGAAGAGAATTTACAAAGACGTATCTAAAGATGAAAAGGATGCAATCAATAAGGCTCCGTTTCTCTTTTAGAATCCTATCTCACTGAATATACCCTAGCTAAATTAAAAAGGAAAGACAAGTTTGTGATCAGAAGTCTAGCTGAAGCATGAAATTCATAGCAAACACATGCCAGCTTTTTGAAAGAAAGTCTTGCTACCTCCCCCTGACCTATTACCACCACTGAGACGTTCAGTTTATGTCCTCTTGATCTGATAGCTTTATGTCCTCTTGATCCAAATGAACCTTTTCAATATGATTAAACAGCAAAATAATCTGGGCATTGGAAGTGTTCCTTGCTTAGATGTAATGCAGTGACAGTGAATTTGTAAATGGGACAACCAGAAAATTTAAGAAAAGTCCGGGCACTTAGAAAGCAATGAAGTTAAGGGAGCTATCCCTAAATTAAAGTTATCTTTGGGGGGGGGACCCTTCTCCTCTCATTTCTAATCTCAAAAAGAAGAAGAGTATTCAGAGAATAAAAGTGGGTACACCATACAATGAGGGTGTGTGTAACCAGGGAAATACAAGTACCGTATTTTTCGCCCTATAGGGCGTACAGGCCCATAGGCCGCACTTAGGTTTTTTTTTGGGGGGGGAAATAAAGGGGAAAAAATTATTCCCCCCCCCCAGCCACGGGGCTGGGGCGGGGGAAGCCCGAGCTTCCCCCGACCCCAGAACAGGCTGCTATCCGCAAGCCTTCGGAGCCCGGCGGGAACTCCGCTGCGCTCGGAAGGCCTGCGGATAGTTGCCCGAAGCCCGGGAAGCCCAGCTCTGCGCTGCGGAGCGCTCCCCGGGTTGCGGGCTGCAGGCTTCTGCCCGCAAGCCTTGGGAGCCCGGCGGGAACTCCCACCGGGCTCCCAAGGCTTGCAGACATCTGCCCGAAGCCCGGGGTGCGCTCCACTGCACTCCCCGGGTTTCGGGCTTCAGGCTGCTGTCCGCAAGCCTTGGGAGCCCGGCGGGAACTCCCGCCAGGCTCCCAAGCCTTGTAGATAGCTTCTTGAAGCTTGGAGAGCGAGAGGGGTCAGTGCACACCGACCCCTCTTGCTCTCCAGGCTTCAGCGAAAGCCTGCATTCGCCCCATAGGACGCACACACATTTCCCCTTCATTTTTGGAGGGGGAAAAGTGCGTCCTATAGGGCGAAAAATACGGTATTTTCTGCAGTTACGTTTTCAAGGTCCTCTCTGATAAATATATGGTCCAAAACATAATTTAATACAAACTATTACTCAGGACCTGTTCCCAGTTAAGGTTATTTACAACTGCACTCTAAAATAATAAATGTGAAGAATCTCAGGATAGTTAATCAGCTGAATCTCATTCAGAATATATAGACCTAACCCAAAAAGTACATATTTTACTTGATGGTTTCACAGTCAAAAGAACAGGGTGGGTTCCAAAAGCATATATCCCAAGTGTCAAAGACTAGGGCAAACAGATGTGCCTTCAGTTTAAGAGGAAAGCTGTATAACGAAGGTGCCAGATGTATCTCTGTGGGAAGGGAAATGCACAACCTAGGAGGTGCTACACAGAATGCCCTCTCCCAGGTCACCACCTCCTGAACTCTTGAGGATGGTGGAACTATCAAGAGGGCCCCCTCTGCTGATCATAAAACCAGAGGGGGTCTGTAAGAGAGGAAAGGATAACATCTTTCTGATATTTGGGGCCTTAGTCATTTAGGACTACATGAGCCCATTGAATTTGGCCCAGAAACAAATGCACAATCAAGGCAGCTTTGTTTTAGAACAAAGTTATATGGGTTCTAAAGGGAAACACAAACAGCTGCACTTTCGACAAGTTGAAATTTCCAAGTCATCTTCAAGGGCAATGACAGAGGGTGCACTGATTGAGAAATAGGGATCACATCCAACACTGCAACTCTGCTGGCACCAGATGCCCATAAGGAGAATGGAATTTAGTCTTTCTCTCTCATGCCATCCAACCTGCTCCACTCCCTCTAATTTCTGGGGGGTGTACCAAGGGTGGGGGGAAAGGAAAGGAAAGAAGAGGAAATAGAAGCCCTCCTGCACCCTTCCAACTCCACAATTCTCTGATTTATGTTTAAACATAAATATAAATAGTTTGTGGAACTAAATAGTATTGATTACAGTGGGACCGTGTAAAGCAAGGAGGTGTGTTTATTGCAGAACTACATACTGCAACCCTGTGCAAGAAAGATGACATCCACTGTCAGAAGCGGAAAGAAGATACTGCCCACATCAGGTGTTCTCAAGTGCTGCAACACTCAGTCCACTCTATGTAAGCAACTGACGTCCTGTAGCAGTGTCGAAGACTGCCACTCCTTTATTTTGTTCCATACATTGTAATGGAAGCTGCTGAAAATTGAGCTACTTACTATCGCATAGCCTCAGCCTATTTCTTGCTCATGTTACAATATGACAAAACCAGAACAAAACCCAAGACCTGAATAGTACAAGAATATGACTACTAACTTTCCCAAGTGTTAGTAGTTGTTGAAATTCAAAAAACTCTTTAAGACATATAAGCCAGTGTTTCCCAACCTTGGGCCTCCAGCTGTTTTTGGACTACAACTCCCATCATCCCTAGCTAGAAAGACCAGTGGTCAGGGATGATGGGAATTGTAGTTCAAAAACAGCTGGAGGCCCAAGGTTGGGAAACACTGATATAAGCTATATAGAGGCTTGAAATACTGCTGTTATACTCCTAGTACTCATACCAGTTTATATGAGCAAACTGAACTGTTAATGTTGGCTACTATTACCAACTCATTTTTGGCATCTGTACATCTTTCCTCTCCAGTTTCTAGTTACATGGAATTCACAAAATGATTGCTAAACCAAGTCTTGAGTTTGGGACTTACAGCAACATTTTGCAATATGCTTCTGGTCAATTCAAAATTACCAAATGGAAAACACCTAATGGAAATAAGGGAGAATGCTGTTTGGATCGCTATAATATAGATCAAATAGTGTATGAAATAATGTGGATGATCCAATCATCTTTAAAATTCTGCAAAAATCCCGGGAAAAGTGTAGACACAACATTGGTATCACACAATTACAGCATTAGAAACAAATTGTGGGAACATGCACAGCCTTTCTGAGGACTGAATTCCTTCTCACCTTAATTAGCAATAAAAGAACTGATGACATTAACACTAACCAGCGGTCTCATATAGCCAGGGATTCAAACCACAATGTAATGCTCATTTCAGACTCTAGGTAAAACAAGAATCTTAGATAGCATTACCTATATTTAGGGTTAGTACAATTTCCCCTAACAGTGTAAAAGTAAAACAACAGTGGAAAATTCCCTTTCTTGATGTGAAAGCTCAGACCCAGGAGACAAATGTGGCCATTTGGCGTCTCATTTGGCTTTTGGCGTTTCCCCAGCTAACACACCCTCCACAGCCATGCCCCACTTGCCAGTCCTGCTTTAGTGTTCCTATCTAGCTATAATGAACCCTTGAACTCAAATGATGCACCTTACTATCCTGAACAGGGAAAAGAAAAACTAGCCTACTTTACGGCTTAGCTGGTAATGCATGGGACGGTTAATCCCAGAGTTGTGGGTTCAAGTCCCATGCTGGGCAAAATAATCCTGCATTGCATGGGGTTGGACCAGATGACCCTCGTGGTCCCTTCCAGCTTTACCATTCTACATACAAGAGTACAATTCACAATGGTTGCTCTGCCCATATTTGCCTCTGGCATGTGGCCTCTGGAAAGTTGCCTATGCAGGAATGAGGCCCTTGGGTTGAAAAGGGGTCTTCACTCCTTCATTAGTCCACAGTAAGTTTTTTTATTGTTTTTTTAAAGGAAACAAAATAAACCCAAGGTACAAATATGTGATGAAAGGGTGGATCTTTGTTTTGCAAATTGTCTGTAGTCAACAATCAATATAGAACTCCAACTTTCAGTAAAAAAAAAATCCTTGCTGATAAAGACACAGAACAAAACCTTAGGAATAGAAAAACCCCTGATAGACTGAGGCCCTCATATTTGTAGTACAATGCATTTACAATATTCTTACCAGTAACTGTTTTTAGTCTTCCTTGGCATCCTTGAAAGTGGAGGGTCCAGACATCCAAGATGATAATGGAGTTTACAAGTATCACACAGCAAAAGGAGGTGTTGATCATGGTTCTTCTTGCAAATCCCACAACTTGGAAATGCAGGAAAAAAGTTTCATTTGAGATAATGCATATACTTTACTGAATCATCTCAATGTTTACATGGGGTAAGATCCAGAGAACCCCATGCATGAGCAGAAGGCATTTCTGCTTGTGCAAAGGGTGGTCCTCAATTTCAGCTAATTCCCCACTCCAGTGGCCCTTCACATCACATCCCACAATGTTTTGAAGGGTCTTTGGACCCTCAGGAGCAGCCAGGAGGCGCAGAGCGGGCGGGCATTAAGGCACTGCACCAGAAAGGAGACAGCAAAGCCCTGTTGTGCAAGTGAAACTAAGCACTTTTCTGGATTCAAGCCATCGTTAATATTTCCCTAATATTTGCTAGATATTTGTGACTTCTGATATATTGATTTTTATATATCATTTCCCTTAAATTCACATTGAAGGCCGGTTTGGTCCTGAAGGCAGAAGGTTGGCCTGAATTTAAATCCCTCACCAGCTATTAGAAAACCACAGGGGCCTGCAAATAAAATATTTCAAACTTAAGTCCTCATCTGTAAAAATAATATCCTTTGAATTCACTTACTTTAAACTATTCACTTACTTTGAATAGTTGCTGGGAGAATGAATGCAATTTAATTGTAATGATATTTGTATTTTACAAAGGATGTAATATTATTGTAAATTAATGAAGGATTGCAAATAAAACATTTTATGTCAGAATCAAGACGAAGCAAATATGCAGTAAAATAAAAATAACCGTTGTGATGGAAAACACCCTCATCCTTGGACATGCTAGTCATGTAAAAAAAAGTTCAGCAGCAACATTTTTAATCACTTGTACATCAAGTCCACAAGGTCATCCAGCAGAGGTACCCCCATTTGGTAAACATCATCCCAGAACAAATTAACATTCAACAGAAAAACTCAGCAATTCATAAAAATGTGAACCATGTGACAAGAGTGGATAATTTTAAATATACTGTAGTTAACTAGCATAAGATTCAGGGAAGTATTTCGTCTCACCACACAACATTAACAGGTAGATGTCATTACCGCAAGACATGGTGATGACCACTAGTTTAAAGGGCTTTTAAAAAGCTTTAGGCAAATTCATGGAGGGCTGTGGCATCAATGGCTATTAGCCACAATAGATAACTGGGTATATTCATATATAGAAAGTGTATACTTCTGACTACTGGATACAGGAAACAAACAAGAGATGGCTACCACTATCATTATCCACTGAGAGCTCTTCAAAAATATCTGGCAAGTCACTGATGGAGACAGATCAAGCAAGGATGTTTTCATGTTCCTAAAAGCATTTGTGGTTGTTATAGGACATAATGCAATCAAATGCTCCCCACAAAGAAACACAAGGTGGTATTAAATACTTCTAGAGATTGCTAGACTGATTTTTGCTAGTCACTGAAAAATTAAGGAGATACTTTTTATTAGCCAAATTGAGGGCATTCCATGAATCTTCAGATGCATTTGAACTGGTTAACCAAATATGGACCCAGTTCTTGCACTTACAAAGAACTCTTTGTCACTGGGTTATGACCAATCTGAATGGTGAAACCCCATACAGTGAGTAAATATTCTAACTGTTATAATTGTATTTTATCTTGCAGAAAGGTAGCTTTTATATGGAGTATATGTTTCAATACTTGTATCAAATATTTATTTATTTTTTTAAAAAACCAACCATAATGGTAAATGGTAAAAAGAACTAAACATATAACAATGAGTAAATACATCAATTACTCAACAATATATTAACCTGAATTATGAAAAATACTAGACTTGAGGATCAAATATGCTTTGTTATATTAGGGCTTAATAAACCGTTTAAGTGCATAATAATTTCATTCAGACCTTGCTGGTCGATTTTAAATGCAAAACTTTTAATGTTTGAAGGTTCTCAACCATATATCACAAAACAGATTAAAATCTCAGGTATAAAAGGAATTTCCTTCTGAAGTGCTGCCAATGGATAGAGAAAATCTCAGTAATGATGTCTGGGACTCTGATGATAGTTATAACATTTTTTTTTTTAAAAAAAAGATTTAAAATGAATCAAGTTAGCTGCCTTACAACAGTGGTGTCCAGGAGTAAAGACATTTTATTCAGTTGTTTGGAATAAAAAAATTACTTATAAAGGTCTCTTACTCTATCCATAATCTATGTCTATTGTGCTGTGTTTCTACTACTTGCCTATAGAGAACTGCAGGGAGGGTTGTAGTCTTCTGGGTTCCACCCTCCTTTTTACTCGGCTTTCTTTCCTTGGGTGCTCGCAAAATTGCTGGTATGTTCAATTTCTATTGGGTTTGAAGAAATACAGGATAATTTGTGAGAGGCATATATAACATAACATTCCCCCTCATTTACTGCTCAGCAATCAAAATTTGGCTGTGCCCAATATACTAAAAGTTAGGAGAGAAAACTGCTTAGTCAGGCTGCAAAAATGACTACACTATATATTCTGTCCCCAAGTGAGCCCTATGAGAAATGAAATTGCATTCACATATTTTCCAATGCAAAAGAGAGAGAGAGAAACCAAAGACATTAAAGCCCTGGCTTTTTAACTTTCCCCCCGTTAACAGAGGGAGCTTTAACAGAGACAGACAAGGACAAGCTGGTTTAGAAGGTTAAAAAGAAAAAGAAAAAAGAAAAATCCACTACACTTCACGAAAGAATATTGAGGCAGTTTATTTTCCTCACCATCCCTGCTACAGTGGTGCTCCATAGGTTAATTAGAAAAATTATCTTATTGGACCAAACTCTGCACAAAGCAGGAGAGATTCTCTTCGGGTTTCTACTAATCTGCAGTATGCTAGCTTCACAGACAGCAACCATCTATCAAAGTCATTTCTCAGTGGCCCTGTGGGCCTGCATCTGTTCAACCAACTGGAAAAAAGTGTCATGCAAGCTGTGCAAATGAAACTACTAGTTTTTATTATTATTAAATGATTGCACCAGGAAACATATTTGTGAAAATTTGATTTCCCCCCCTTTTCTTTTTAAAAGGGATGAACTTCTTATTAACAAACTTAAATTCCGACTCCCATATGTATGAAAGGCCCATAAAAAAACAGGTTATATTAATCATCTGGGCCAGTTTCACAGAACCATCAAGCACTTTGTAAAACCTTGCTAATTCTCGTGTTGAATTAACACTTAGCACAAAAACAAGGATAATTACAAAAAACAGAGCTGGCCAATGGTCCAATTTCTTAAAAGATCATTTTAACATTTTATAATCTTAAAAAGCCAACTAAGGAGTCAGACAAAAACAAAAACAAAGATCTGATTATATATTGGAATGACACATTCCCCACTTTCTTGAGGAATCTGCTAACTGCACTGAATATCAGACATAAGCCTCAGTGAAGGATGAATTGGGAAGCACTAAAAGAAAAAGCCAGCGAAATTCATCAATCTTTCAGATACAAAGTGCCATATAACTTCCACTGTTTGTAGAACGGGAGAAGCAGCTGTACAACAGGCACCAAACTGTGTAAAGTGTTCATTGTGCTCTTTTAATGTAGCTGAAAACATAACCATATGTTTTGATTCTCATATTTGATTCTGCTGGTTTACAAGTGCAATACTGTACTCTTTAAAAGCTAATGAATTTAATAATTGGGAAGCGACAGTATTCACTTTTTTACAACTGACAAAATGATCAGTAATCCTATTAAAAAAAAATAACCAGCTGTACCCTAATATTCTTCACTTCCTATTAAGGACATTCCCACATGCACAATTCATTTAAAACTACAGCAAATTGCATATGCTTTCAGTTGCATATTCAGGAAACAGGGGGGAAGAAAACAATATACCCTAAGAAAACCTGCTCTTTGAAAGCTACAGTGAGGGGGGGATAGCAAAGAATGTGGTTAGATTAACTCATGCTTCAGGTTTAGCTTCATCACAAATGACAGGTCAATCAGTTACACCAAATGAAAGAATTTTGCAAACAAGATAGCTAATCCAAAAACAAAATTAGGCTGCAGTTTCCCAGTAGGTAGGCGCAGAGCCCTATATACATTTCAATCAGAAATCATTATCTGCAGAATAAGGCCAGGACTTTATCAAATGTATCTTTTCAGCCTCAAAAAGTGACAGTAACAAAGAGAAAACCCTATTTTTAGGACTCATATGACCCATAAATAAATAAGATATAAGGAAAGAGGGGAGGAGAAAAACAATGGGGAAAACCAACCTGCCCAATTATTCTACCAAGCACAGCCCATATTCCTTGTCCTTCATTTCGCAGCTTTGCATTCACGTTCTGAAGTTCTTCTAAAGACTCACACAACTAAAAAACAAAGCAGTGAAAAATACTGTGGAAGTTATTTTGTACCTCGTATCCAGGAGGAGGCATTCTTTACTTATGAAACCCTTTTCTATGAGAGGTAATTAAATAATAAAATTGTTCACTCATGTCAATGCAACTGAAATCAGTAAAGTTAATCAGCCATTCAATAACACCAGAAAGAAAACATGGGCATCCATCTGGTTAGTAAGGGAGAACCTAAAGTAATTTTGTCTGACAATAAGACTATAATGGCAGTCAAGAAACATCAAAACAGTTCCACTCTGTTATTTCCATCTGTAAAGATGTGCCAGGTTTTTCTACACAGGGAATCAAGATTTCAGAGCTATACATCTGCACACTTGAAATAAGAAAATATGAAGCCTTGTCACATTTTTTAAGTGTAACTGGGAATGATGTTCTCTCCTCCAGACTACTATTTATTTTTTGACAATTCCAACAACTATCATTACTTTCATGGGGTGTGCGTGAATGCACGGCCATGTCTTTTTGAGAACAAATAAGAAGAGCAATACAATAGGTAGCATTGAAATCTCTAGTCATGTCTTCCATTCCTTGTGATCAGTGTGGCATACATGTGTGTATTCACACAGCAGTCGCTGCAACATTGAAGGCTTCCCTCAAATATCCCAAAAGTATCCACTGACGGTATTTCAAATCAATACTTTTGTTTACACCAACCTAACAGGAAAAACACGTCGCCAACATCCCAGATATCTAAAGTTGCATACAGCGGTGATCAACAAAGTGGTTCACTAGGTAAAATTACTGACAGCTGCTGCCTGGTGACCGTATGGGAAGAACCACAGTTGGTGATAAAACTACACATGCTTTGAATACAAAAGATCGTAAGTTCAATTACTGACATCGCCAAAGAAGCGGATAAACAGGTGGTGTCAAAGACCTCTTCGTAAGATCCTGGAGAGCTGCTGTGAATCCAATAAAAATACTGGACTAGATGGACCAAATTCATGGTTACTGAATGGATAGGAATAAGGAGCCCACACGAGCAGAGGCAACTGCCCAGTCAAGACCTATGTTACTGTTTACTTCGTTTTTTATTGTCATTTTAGTATTTCTATTATGTCTGTAAGCTGCTTGAATATTTTCTGTGAGTAAAGCAAATAATAATAATTTGGCAATCCCGGACTCTGCCATCCCCATGATTAAAGCTAGGACTTGGAATTCCTCCTCAGTTACCCTAAAGCTCAAAGAGAACACCTCAACGCAAGCAACTTTTTATGCTCATGATCGTGAGCAGATGCACACAACAAGCGAGAGTCAGGCTCTTGTACCAGACTGAGAAAAGCTGTATAGATGAGAACCTCTGAGAAACATCTTAATCTTTTAGTGAACAGCAGGTGACAGTTACTGAATGACCATTTGATTTAAGATGGGTTTTAGTGGAAGTCAATGGTTTTCTAACTATAGTTTTATTTTAAATACAGCATATGATTTGAAACACATCATTTACCTTGTTATATTCTACATGAAGTTTTTCCTGTTCGTTCTCCAGCTTATCTTTAATTTTCTTCTGTTCTGCCATATTTTCTTGGATCTGGATCATGCGCATGTTTCTCTCTAAAATAAAAGCCAGCACTTTCTGTATTTCCTTTTTCTTTCTTTTTTTTGAGCATGCAAAGCAACAGAATGAATGTAGGTAACAATACATCATATGACAACATTTCTTCGCATTCAATGTCACATGCAGAAAACACTCTCTGCAGCTGAACAACGCTTACGATATCTCTAAAACATCCAAGCTATGGATATTAAGATCAAAGGCACATAAAAAACAAATACTAGTAAGTAATTCATCCCTTGCAAAGCAGAAAAGGAAGGGTGACAAGGGCAAGAAACCCGATTGCATTACTGGAGGGTTTTTACAGAGCTACGCTTGCACCTGATCTCAATAGCAAGGGCTGAGGGAGGAAAGAAGCAGCATTAATACCAATTAATATTGAGTTAGAATGCACTCCAAACTTTAAATACATTTTTAACTATCCCACACATTATTTTAACGCAACATATATGAATATTTACTTGGCTACTTGGGGGCAGCTTTGTTGCTTTAAAATTGTAACGAGGGAATGATAGTGCTCACATACAGGAGTATATGGGTGGCTTGAAGTTTAAAGCAACTCCACTCTTTCATCTGTAAACCATCCCTTCAAAATCTAGACTGGGGTGGCTAACCTGCAGCCTCCGATTGTTGCTGGATTCCAACTCCCACCTGCCCAGCAAGCCAATGTTCAGGGATGATGGGAGCTATAGTCCTGCAACAACCGGAAAATGAAAGGTCAGCCATTCCTGGCAACAATGCAAAGCACGTATCTTTTCACCCTTACCAAAATAATAATTGACAAAATCAGCGGTCAGGGCTGGCTGTTTGTGTTTTCTTCTTCCATCCACACTGGAACTGGTATCTGAAGTATCCACTGGAAAGATGTCTGTGCTAATTCCCATTAATTCTGCTTTGCGCATCAGCTTACGTATTGCTGAAGCGCTGCTAGTGAGCGGCCGTGGCAGTTTCTCCCTTGGTACCCACGCCTGCGGCCTCGTGGTACGTGCTATTTCTGACTTAGCACGATACTGCTGTAGTCTGGCATTAATTCGGGCCTACAAATTTTAAAAAAGCAAATCAAAATAAAGCTAAGAAGCACATAAACACTTTTGCTAGAAAATTTAATCTCCATTTCTAACACTGAACACACAAATCTATGGTGAGAGAAGATTGCTTTTAATAGCGCAAAAGAACTGATCCTAAAATAGTCTCTGGACTAGAAGAGGTAGAGTTTGAAACAGATGTATTTATGAGCTTCCTCAAGAGAAATCCAGTATTGGTTTCTGTTCTCCATCATGCTGATCCTTAACAATTGAAATTCAGAATTCTCATAAAACTCAATAAGGAATGAATACATCAGCAGGCAAATTTCCCCAAATATCTGGGTAACTCAAGCTAGAAATGGTTCAGGCTGACAACAGACTGTGGCAGAGGTAAGTACAAAGACTCAAACTGGGGGGAGCACTAGCAGGTTTGGGGTGGGGTTAGATTTATTGAGCTGGAGGAAAAGTGGGGTCACAGAGATATCATGCAGCTGGGCGAGGTACACATGCTTATATACCTGAGTTTAGATTATCTGCAAGCAGGTGAATAGTGATTCTCAAACATTTCATACTATTTACAGCCATATGCATTTTCACTGGCAGTCACAACAATTCCATCCTTTTTCCTCTGCCCTGATCTTTCTCCTAAACACAAATACAAACTTGGCTTGGGTATACTACCTGAGCTTCTGGTGACAGTTGTTTCTCTCTCTCCTGCAAAGACATTTTGCAATAAGATTGCAAAGCCAAATAGTTCTTGCGCTTCCACTTTCTATCCATCCTGTCTGCATGTTGCTTGCAGTAAGCAAAAAAGGGATCTGCAATATCCTGTTCCAATTAAAATAAAAATGAAGAAGGCAAAAGCTTATGAAAGAAAATAGTTTGTCAGCCAGGAAAAGCAGTATTTTAATTATATTTTATCATGAAATTTTAAATTGCCATTATGTAAGCCACCTTGAGAGGTCCCCCCCCAAAGACAGCCTAAAAGTATTCTAAAGTAAATGAATAGGATAAATAAATAGGATGGTACACGTACACACACACACACACACACACACACATTTTCCACAATTTTGTTAGGTAGGGTCCGAAAAAAATGATTCTGATGGCTTTTAAGGTATTTTAAGCAACCAAAGCTAGATTAACGTAACATCACTACAAAGAATATGAAACTCTTGTTTTGATTCAGCTTTTCAAACTCAGTGCAAAGTTTACAAATTAAATAGCCACATGTTTATCTACATATAACAGATACATTAGTTTTAATTGTTTAGCTACTCATAAGCGGTATCACTACAATCTATGTAAATGTTAGAGGTAAACTTTCAAGTTTAATCTCATTTCCAAAGGGGCTAAAAGACTATCAAGCAGCTATTTCTGTGTGCCATTTTCCAAAGGCGTTAATGTAGAAAGCAATTACATACATGAATACTGTATAGAATGGGGAAAATATTTTCATACATATATTGAAAAGCATATTTGTTTCCCTCTACTCATTCAAACAACTAAGCAAGTTTTGCACTGCCACACAACTTTCTTTTGTTTCCAAATGCTGCAGTATACATCAACATAGGTAGCACAGGAGGAATGCTTGACAGATAATCTTGGAAAAAATAATCTGACCAAAATGGTGGATTGCTGGTGGATCAGAACCATGTATGATTAGAAAGTCATTGAGACGGAAGGGAATTGAAGATCATAATCACTCTCCCCACACATATTCATCTTTCTAGTATGGAATGGATCCAAGAGAGATGATTCCTGCCAAAAATGTCTACATGTTTCAGGGGAAAAGGTTAAAAGAAAAAGAAGGGAAGGTACAAAATACGCCTCCTGCATCCCAACACAGGAAAACTGAAGCAATCAATATTAAGTAAGGCAATCAACTCAAATATTTCTTAGATATTTTAACACATCAATTTGAAGTTTTAGTCATAACAAAAGTCACCTGGGTTATTTTCACTAATGCAGAATATTATCATACCTCTTCAGCTGCTGCTTCTGACAACAGGCCTTCCTTCTGAGCGCAAGTCACATGGAAATATGCTCGGCACATCCCAGCATCACAACTAATGCAAACGCCAGTTCTGGCAAAACGGGGATCTTCACAAAAACTGCATTCCTGTAGCAAATAAATGAGAGAGAGAACATTAGAAAAGTATTATCTTTATACAGTAACTTCATACAGAATAAAGTAGTAACTTTATATAGTACCTTAAAATGTACTATATATTTTACAGAAGACAAGAATCAAACAAAAGGGAATGAGAAAACGAATAAAACAGAAACAGAAGTATATATAAGATAGTACATTCAACCCTAACTACAACTTTCCCCCTCTGTCAGCAATAGTTTTCATGTAAATTACCATATCCATATCTATATATGCTTATTAGAGTGGGGTTTGCATAGGACATTCCCCAAAGATAGGACATTCTATCCCATCTTTTGACATGCCAAGGCAGGTTGCAATAAGTGATACACACTTAAAGCCAAGTAATGCATACCGGTCCACAGACAGCAACAACGTACATACTGAAAAAGATGTCCTAAAAACAAACAAACCCCTTATACATCTGATATACCATTTAAAAGTTTAACATCAAGACAAGAGTTAAAAGTGTGATCTTCAGTGAGCCACGTTTGAAGATTCCGGTTGGGGATGAGGGAAGCCCTCTCAAGAATTCACTCGAGGATTAATTGTTTGAAATCTCATATATTCTCAGATCAATATTATTGTGGTCTGATGGCTAAATCTTTACAGTACTGTAGAGGATTAATTGAGCTGCCCTGCATTTACTTGACTGCCCTGTTATTAGTACTTTTATAACTAAAGCCCAGTGTAAAATTACAAGCCTTAGTCCTGTGGAATTAGTGGATAAGTTCCTATCGAATGAGGGTTTCATAAGAAAATTGAGACTATATATAATAATCTTCATTATAACCAGATTATAGAGTTGGAAGGGGCCCTGAGGATCATCGAGTCTACCCCCCCCCAGTGCAGGACTATGCAGCTGTCCCTTACGGGGATTAAACCTGCCACCTTGACATTATCAGCACCATGCTCTAACCATGCTCTAACCGACTGAGCTGCGTTTTGAGCGTTTAGCTGTAATGAACTGAAAAGGAAACAAACAAATATAAGCTACAATCATACAAATTATCACCAAAATATATCTATTTGAATGTTACCTTAGCACCATATTTGGAATAGTTCATTTCTGTAAGAGTAACTGGCCGCAGTTTGTCAATATCTCCAAATGCTACTCCTGGAACATAGAGTGCACAAACAATGTGGACCCATCTATAACAAAAGAGGAAAGCATTTACGGTTCATTTCTGAGCACTAAGAAAATTACAGACAAGGAAAGAACAGTTTAGGTGACCCAGATGTTAATGGGAGCTTCTACAAATACTACAAACATTAAGTCGCCATGGTTTTGAAACAACTAAATGATGGGACAGGAATGTAACTTTTTTGTAATAACAATTAATTAATATGTACTTCAACAATATTTCACAATTCCCCTTTGAACGGATTAGACCGAATTAAGAACCTGTGATAGTCTCCCTACTGTTTTAGCCAATTTGAAATACAATCAATGGCGGAGAAACCCTATATAGTGCCATCCTATACAGCTGGCTTTCATACACATATCTGCTCCTGGTTGGAGAAATCTATGCAAAATAGGTTTTTGTTAACCCTGTGCTAGCTTAGCACTTTCAGAAAATTTACAAATGCACAGCTCAGCAGAGAATTTATTCCCACTTCCCCTACAACAGCTGATCAATAAAATTTTACCAGGATGTGTCCACTGGGATTGGGGCGGATATCCTGGGGGAAGAAGGGGGAGCCTGAAGTGTACTAATGATATGAATGTTTTATATTCTGTATTATTTAATAGGAATCTGAAAGCAATCCATCCATATGCAGAAGCTGCTTGAACATCTTTGCTTATATTATAAAATTGCTGCTAGTTTGTTCTTAAGGCAGAAGGGCAATTCTGATCTATGTACATGTCTTGCACTTCCAGTGTGAAGGCCTTACGCCAGGGGCAGCCAATGTGGTGCCCTCCAAAGTCCTGAACTACAATTCCCATAATCCCTGGCCACTGGCTATACTTTCTAGGGTTGATGGAGTTGTAGTCCAAAATATTTGGAAGTCATTATTTTGACTACCCCCGTCTTAGATCTTACTCATTTGAAGTCACTTCTGAGTCTTTTTTATCAATGTTTTGAGTTTTAGGCAACACTGAAATATCTAGCAATTTGCCCCAAAAGATCCAAATATTGAAGCCCCCAACTTTAAGATAGTCTGTTTTTTGAAATTCTAGGAGTTTCTCTCTTTATGAAATGCCACTGATGTGTTGCACTGGTAACAATTTTACCAGGGAAATAGTTGCTCTTATTCACATTATCTTCTATTTTAAAAAAAAAAAAGCCAAGGTTTTGGCTGGTGATTTTTGATAGTACGTTTTAATGCAACCTCCCCATTGCACCCTGCAGAGTTCAATATAAAGATACACATCTTCAACAAGCAGCTGCTTCTCAATTTAATTTGCACAGTTTTTTCATGCTCCACTGGTGTATTAAATGCTGCTGCACTCTGTAGGAGTTTATCTATGATAAACCCAACAGCTGGCTGCTTGCTTCATACTGACCTTCTCAAAATGTTTTAGTACATGTCACACAAGTACTGTAGTATTACAGATTTAAACTGCCATTTCAGTATGATTGGCACACAAGTGTCTCATTTCCTTAACCACCTATGTATGAACTCCATCCTGAATCTTTATTAAAAGCACAGAAGTCAGTCAAGTTCACAGCTGAGGCAGCTTCAGCTGCATTTAATACCAGTGCCTAAATGTTTTCCTGCTCATTTGTTTAGCCGCACATGTTTGAGAACCTTGTAATTAAGACAAATTGGGTAATCAAAGAAGAATAATCTTTCTTGTTACTTCCCCATCCATTTTGCTCCAAGCTAAGATGACAGATGTTGGTGAAGGGAAGGGAAAAAGCTGAAGCAAAATAAAGACAATAGTCTTAGCCCAGTTAGTATCATATCATATATCCAGAGCAAAACAATATATCCACATTGGTGCTCAGGAAACTAAAGAGTACATGCAAAAAGTAGATTTGTTTCCAATTAACCATTCCACTATCTATTCAACCTCTTCGATGGGAAGGGCAGAGAAAATCATCCCTCATTAAGAGAGAATATTAACAGGTTTAGTTTAACATTCTGACAATTTTTTAGTTAGAAAGGAAAGCTATGTTATTTGTTTGTGGCACATAATTTGGTGTCCTGGGATCACAGGAGGTTTGACAGCCGTTTGCAAAACTCCACATTGACATCATGTACACACAAGTGGCAACCACAAGAAAATGTATTATATTCCTAGCCCTTAGAATGAATGTTCAAATGTTCAGCCAGTTTGGAACAGAATCACTAACATTGCTTTGACCTTATCCAAGGAAGGGAGTTTCAGAGGGGCAGGGAGAATGAACTTAAAAAGGACAGCTTTTTTTCCCTTTCCCACCTTCCTGAAATCTTTCCCTATTGTGCCAGTCCTGAACCTATGCACTTTAATGTTATATAACAGTGTGATGAAGAGTTTGAAGACTGAGGAAAGAGGAAGGTGTCCTTTTAGCACTCCTGAAATGTTCCTGTATGGCACGTAGTTTTTTTTTAAAAAAAACCAAACAAACCACATGACACACATCCCTCCAACTCTAATCCCCCTTCCAGAACACCACAAGCTTTCAGAGCTTAAGCAGACCAACTCTGTCCCTGCTTTTCTATTCTTTTTCTCAACCAATATCCTCAATACTCCATGGATCAACTGTCCTCAACATTTCATAGGCCCAGGAAGAACGATAGGGTCTTGAATGGTCGTTTCTTAATATCTTTTAATTTACAACTAATATGCAGAAACTGCTACCTTATTTTTGGTGGTCCTGTTTGAGCTCCAGATTGATAGGCATGGAACCTCCCAGGTCCAGTAATAAAGGGAACAAGCGGGACTCAAAACAAAACTTTGCAGTGCATCCTCCATCTTTCCTGTTTAGGAGTCCAACCAGCCATGCACTTCCCACACCTATACTTCCATTGCTATGGCTGTTGAGCATGTGCAGTCCTGGAAGTTTACCATGTTTGTTTTTAACTTCCACAGTATCTTTAAGTATCTGATTTTAACCTATTTATTTTGGTAAACCTCAGTGCGCTACTAAGAGGCCAATATATTCCTCTTGCTTTATATTGGTACACACCACCCCGAGTTCACTGTTAAGGGACAGCAAGGGCAATGATTATGAAGGGGGGAAATCCTGTTTTTAAGGGTTGTTGCTACAAGGCACTTCTACACAGCTGGATAAAAGCACTAAGTTTTTGAAAGTCTAGCTTCATTATAATCTGGGTTCAATTTATTTATTTGTTTATTAATGTAGAGTCTGCCAATATGGCTTCAACAAGTCCTCAGGGCAGCTTACAAAATAGGTTGTTTTCTTACACTTGACAATTGAACAAGACGTAAATGCCAAGATTTTTAAACTTGGAGTGCAATTCTTTTAAATGCAAAGACTCAAATTACAGCCTACTGTGTGTGGTTTCAAATGCCAACATCCATTTCAATAGAAAGTGTTTAGTATAGAGCCAAATTCAAAGTGACAAATACAAACCCATGAATACAAGAAATTTATGAATGGTTTAAAATTGCTGGGACTTCTGATTCAATATATTCAGGATATTCTAAGCACAAAAGGGCAAATGGAACCATGCTCAGTTTGACCGTGTGGAATGTCCTGCTGAGTTTCAGAGGTATTGTGTTAATAACAGGAGCAATGAAATCGATTAAGCTTGAAAGCACCAGGTCATGTTTGGCAAGCTTGTTAATGCCTCACCATGAAATATATTCCAGTGTCTTAAACAGCTCGATGGCAGTCTAAAAATTCCTTAACAGTTATGGGATGACAGACTGCAAAGTTTTGATATGGGGCATATTTCCGCACAAACATTTTGAAACAAGCAACTTCCCAACATAAAACTTCCCAGTTATGGAACTACCTCCTATTAACATCTATCTGTCCCCCACATTATTTTAATTCAGGCAACATCTTATGACCTTTTTTTCCTGGCAAGCCTTTGGAACCTAAGAGGAGTGGCTTCATATGTATAATTTAATGCTGACTTTTATGTTGAATCACATATTATATTTTGTATTGATTTTGATTTAATTATGAGTTTTTGTTGTTAGCTGCAGTGGACTCCCATGAGAGGAAAAGTGGGTATACTAATTGAAATAATAAAAGTGGGGGGAAATACCTGCGTAGACAGAAACCTATGAGAGGACTACCCAGTGTCACAAAGTGAAAATTTTATAATTCCTTAAACTGTGTGTTTTAGAACACAGTACACGGTTCTGACCAAACATTTAAGTTGTTTGTTTAGTCCTCCTCCTGAGTAGTTCATAAACCTTTAAGGTGCAACAGAACCTGTGAATTTATTCACAGAATTATCCTAGTAAACCTCTATTGCAGAAGCAACAGCAATGCTATGTTTCTCCAATAGGAATCTGGCTATAGTCTAATCTACCATTGGAAAGAAGGAAAGAAGTTATGCCTGACTTTCCAGAATGGGCTTGGTGAAGAAAACACATGACTGGAATAAATTGAAGGATAACTTTCAGGAACCTATCCCTCTGATGACAGCTCCTTTAACTAACCTGCCAGCATCCGTCTCCTTGAAGATTCCATCTTGGTTGGGGCAGAGTTCACAGCTCGGAGAAACACCACATTTGCAGGCATCACAGAACCATGGTTCAGTGGAGTTTTCTGAAGCGGAGCTCATAATAGAATCACTTTCGCCGTCAACACCATAACAACCTAGGAAGATAGAAATACGAATGAATTAAATCAAATAAATGTTATATCAAGGGATGTATTTAAGAATTAATATAAGACATGGAAAGCAAGGGCACATGGAGCTATACAGTAGGTAAGGCAGAACTGACAGAGCTCTTTGAAGGAGGTTTCCAAATTGACATGTGTGTGTTCACAGTCTCAATTACAGGGTTTTCGGATGCAACACATGATATTCACTTTCTCCAGCCACAAGAGCTCTATTACACTACCATGAGCTTTCTGGAAAACTGTTGTCTCTATGCAGCCTTATTTATAAGGAGAGAATAAGGGAGATAACTATTCTGGATGAAGTAGCTACTCAAAAAACCAAAAGCATCTGCCTTCTAATTAGTAAGCAGTAAGTAGAAAACACCCATGCATTTTGATTTGTCTCTCTGTAACTGTGCAGATTGTTCCCTCGGCAAATGAAAGCTACATTTGTTTATTTTTTACAAATTTGCAGGTACTACCAAATGGCTAATTAGGTCACATTTAGCAAGGTTGTTTGATTGATTTTGGAGCATTACACATACCCTCTGACAGGAAGTCATATTCTGTTAATTTGGACAATTGACTGTGCTTTACTGGAAGAGGATTTGGGATTAATTCAAAAGACATCAGAAAATACTGCAGTATTTTAAAGCAATGATTATTCTCTGCTTTAACAACCTATTATTATGAGTGATTTGGGACGTAGGTGGTGCTGTGGTCTAAACCACTGTGCCTCTTGGTCTTGCCGATCCAAAGGTTGGCGGTTTGAATCCACGCAGCGGGGTGCAAGCAGATAACTGGTACAGCCACAGAGGGAAGGTGAACAGCATTTCTGTGCGTTCTGGCACTCATCATCGCACCAGAAGCAGTTTAGTCATGCTGACCACATGATCTGGAAGGCTGTCTGTGGACAAACACCAGATCCCTTGTCCTGAGGTGAGATGAGCGCCGCACCCCATAGTCGCCTTTGACTAGACTTAATTGTCCAGGGGTCCTTTACCTTACCTTTAACCATATGGGTGATTTCTAGATAACATATTGAACGCCTCCTGCAAACAATTAAATTTACTTTAGCTGACTAGAAAACTAAAAGAAAGAGCGAGATTGATTGATTGCAAAGAGATCTGAAAGCTCAACTATGGAGAAATAGTTGCACTGTGCACCTATTTTATTATAAAGTCACCAGTTCATGTAACTCTTAAGAAGATGAATTCTTCACTGTGTACAATGCCAATATTGGAGTAAACAAAGGGATATAAAAATATTTTTAGGGAAATTGCAGAACATCTTTAATTTATAGCACCAATGCAAGGACAATTGCCAGAAAGTGAATTACCCACAACTACATTGCCTGCAATGATATGTACCAGACAGTTTTCTTTAGACATGCTGCAATCAGTACATCAGGAGAACTGACACCCCAGCTGGGGGTGCTATGCTATTACAAACCAGTAAGGAGATTTTAGCACAAAAGCAGTTATCTAAAGTGACAGGCCAGAGCTTAAGATTTTATTTTTAAATTTATCCACAGAAGGGCAAATCTATCCAAGGAACACTTTATAAAATATACTTTTTTTCAATTAAAACAAGTAACATCTTCCTGAAGCACTGATAGAAATTTGTCACCCAGATCTTAAAAGGGAAAAAAAAAATGTTCCAGACATGGATCTAGCAAAATCTCTGTTATTATGAGGGACCGTAAAGTGCAGAAAGGTATGGCCTTTGAATATCAGGAGCAGGTGGCAGATTTTACCACCCACACCAAGTATATTTCAACATCCAACACTTTTTCTTTTCCACCAAGAGTGAACATTCATTTAGATTGGAAAACCGTGTCAGCCTCAGGGGTCAGTACCATCAGGCATCTGTTGAGGGCTCTCAGAAGGGGCTCCTGCCAGTCCAGAAAGGTTGGTTTCAGATTCCTGAACCTGGCACACCACTCAGTCTTGAATTAAGAAAATATGGTGACCTCCTGATGCTGGAAACCATTGTTTTAAACCAACGAAACAATCACTGCCCATTGTGATTGAAAGTATTTCCTAGAAAGGAAAGTCTAGACTGAGCTCAAAACGTAACAGGCTGCCTCCAACCCAGGCAGCAGAGAACAAAGTGAAAGCACCAGTTCTCAGCTATCTGGAGCTTAAGAGGTAAGCTAAATGGAAGCACATAGCTTGCTGCTTGTTTCTCTACAGTGTGGGATCTAAGGAGTTGGATTCAGACTCCATTGTCAAGGCCAATTTGACCCCAATCCATATTATCCTTTAAGCTGCAACAGACACTGTCAGACATCTAGACTTTGTCCAAAAACCCTGATTATGAAGTTTCACCATGTGAAAAGAAACATGTTAAGACTGTATCTTGGGCTGTGAGTTAAAATGAGCAATCTGCATGTACTATCACTGAATTGATTTATATTTACACCCATCCTCTTGTCTTCTTGAGCTGCTCATCTGTATTTTGTGATGCAGCTTCTTTGCACATTATCCAGCGGAGAGACAGCCAAATTATTAATTTAGAACATTTATACACTCTTTCTACCCCAACCCCAAAATGTTAAAGGCAGCTACACTTTAAACCAACACAAAAAACAATAACAGAAGTACAAAAGAAAACAGCAACGGCAAACACATTAAAACACACAAATATTACACAGAGCCCTCCAAGTAAAATTTATCTATATTGAAAGTGTAATAATGAAATATATACAGTAAACCAAAATACATCCAAGGAGACACTAACAGTGCAATCCAGTGCATGTTTACTCAGATGTAAGCCCTAATATGCTCAACAGAGATTACTTCTGAGTAAATAATTTCACACTGTGTCAGAAAATTAAGACAGCAAATGTTGAGTTTCCTAGTTGGAAGTTGGCGAGCCAGAGTGTGACCACAGAGAAAGCCCTATCTCTGGTCCCAATCAAACATGCCTTTGTGATTTAATAAGAGTCTATGCTTCTGATATGAAGCAAACTGTTAGGGCTGGGAATGATAAGCAATTGAACCATAACTTCACATGGATGCAGTATGAATCACTATGCCAAGTATTTGGGAGAGGATCTAACCTCTACCAGTGTGTTTATTTCAAGATATTTTTATGTTCCCTTTTAACTAGTCTGAATGATAATATACCACAACAAATCAGTCGCACTCAATTGTAAACTGTATACATTAGCATGCCTTCTATCAGCATTTACTTCTTTAATGGATGACACTATATTAAGAGGAGCAACTGCCTTTGTGAATTTAAAAGATTCACTGGGCAAATCCTTTGTTTCTATTCAAAAGATCAGGGTTAGATCTTATTGGCAAAACCATTTAATATATGAAGCTTTTATATACTGGAACTGAAGGGCATAAGGATTATAGCTTTAATTTGTTTTCCACTAAGGAAAAATACAAATTAACAGTTGAGTTTTCATAAACATGAAGCAGGTTTGACTGCATGCAAATTCATGGTTGCAGATTTAATCTCCCATATCTGAAAGTCAAGGAATACCAAACAGTTGTAGAAAGTATTGTATCCATTGCCGCTGCATGAAAACAAATTCACCTCAATTTGCTAAGAGAAAAACAAAGCTTTATTATTTGTTGCAAATTGAAGTCATGATAGAATTACCTTCATGCACTGTTATTCCACAATTGTCGCACTGGATTATTTCATCAGCATCTTCACTATTATCCCCAAGACAAACACAGCAAATCATAATATGGTCCATTTTCTGAGAGCTCCAATTCTGAGATTTCTCAAGAATCAGCGAGTCCTATCATTGAAAAGTAAAAATACACTTGTTATATTAGAAGAGGCATTACCATGATTTACCATTGTTTTGAGCCTGCAACCTGTGTTAGAACTGTAAGTGTATTTCTGAACATGATTCCTCAAGCCCTTTACTTCTTATCTACTGGTGTTTTTATGTTATACTATATGTTTTACTATATGTGTCCATCACACATCACATCTACGATGGCCCTAAGCACTCTCACAAAGGCCTGGCATTCTTAGCCTTGTTGTTTCGCCTCGTGTTCTTTTCCAGCTCCTGTTCCTTATACTTTGCAATCTCTTGCTTCTATTCGCTGGTTTTAATCCTACAAATCATGCATGCCATATACCAATGGTGGGGAAACTTTTGAACTCTAGATGTTGTTGAACTCCAGCTTTTATCAGATCAAGGAACACAGTCAACAATCAGAGATGATGGAACTTGTAGTCCAACAACTTCTACGGCACCAGAGATTCCCCGGTCCTGCCAAATACCTTACACAACACTACCAAATTGAGGTGCAACAAATGACTCCAATCTCCTTCCTTTGCAGTCATACAGTAAGTTATTCATATAGGTCAGCTAGGGTGGATAAAAATCAATGATTTTTCAAAAAAAATCTGATTATTTTGATTTAAATTGGATTTTTAAAATAAAATGCTTTTGGTGGGGAAAAATAGTTTTCTATTTAAGTTACATTATAGTCCAAAGGCTAGCATTCATCAGGAAATAAGGATTTGCTTTAGGTTTTTCATGTGTGCTGAAACTCAGTCTAAGTTGGGGTTTTTTTTAAAAAAAAGTTTAACCACATCAGTTAACAAACATGGATACATATGCTATAATGTTATTGTTTTAGTTAAATAGTTTAAATTGTTATTAAGGAAATGATTATTTTTCTCCTTCCAATAAAGCGCAGCAGAAAAGCTGTCCAAATATAAAGTTAACTTATTAAACCTCACAATAATTTCATATTTATCTGTCTATGTATTTCTAATAGTATAACCAAATCAGTAATTTTTGATATAACTGTAAAAACTACTCTGAAAATTTATTATTCCAAGAATGAAACCTTCCTTTGGTTGTAAATATTAAGATGATACCAGGAGGAATGTCTTTCTGTAAAAAATGATATGATTTTAATCAAGTCTCACTGACTAGTGATTTCAATCGTGGTTTAAATCGTGATTTAAATCGATTTGATCTAAATCAAGTCCACCCTGAGGTCAGCCGAAACCAACTCATGGAATTGCTATGATGTCAAAATACCACTGTGAGCTCCTTTAGAGAAAAGAGGATACAAACATAACAAACAATGCATTACTATCACACAAACTTACAAAATATTAAGTACTGAAACACACAAAAGTTGAAGCCACAATGCTGAAGGGCTAGGCCTGGCTTTCAATAAACAAGAATATTTGTTATAGAGAAAGAAACAATTATTGCTTCTGAATAAAGACAACGTCAGGATTGTCTTGTACGCATCTTATTTCCCCCAAGCAGCAGCCTCGTGTCTCGTGGCAAGGTACTTTTGAAGCTGAGGGAAATTTCAAGTCCAGATTGTGGTACTATTCCAACAGGTGCTCAAACAAAAAAGCAAGAAATTCCACTGGCCATGCAGAAGCCTTTGCCTAAAGTAGTTCTATGGATCCCAGCCTATGTTATATGATGCATGAATTTAATTCAGGGTTTCCTGATTTGGGACTAAAATGTTCCTGTGCCTTTCTCAAGATTGGCTCCTTAAAGAAACGATTTAGGTTTCCCTGGGTTTTAGGCACTGCGGCATTATTATTACCAATGCTACTATACTCCTTCCCAAGAATATCACTGCCATTGGAGTGTAGACACAATAAGGAACAACATGGTGGGGGGAAATCTCCCAGTCTTCGAGCTGCAAGAACATGTAATAATTCCAGCTGTAACATTTACAATTTATGGTTTTTAGAGCAACTCCCCAACTCTATATACGTCTGCACAAAGGCAAGTACACCCAGGTAGGTGGCTACAAATCCCAATGTGTAGTTAAACATTGGCCATTGCAACTAAATCATCACTTGATCAATTAATTGGATAGGTTGTAGGCTAAAAAACATTTTGGTTGACTAAAAAGTTGTCCCAATTAATCACGCAAATATTGTTTTTTTAACTGCTTTGAAAACATTTAATTTTATTGTTTTCATGTCCTAACTTTTTGCCATCATTACCTTTCTTCCATTATGGAGCTCAAAGGTGGTGGACCTGAGATTCCCAGCTGGCCTCCCATTCCAGGTACTGAAAAGATCCCAACCCACTTAGCTTCAATAAGGTGTCTCATGTGCCTTCTGAATAAGATATAAATTACTATGAAAGCACCATCTTAGCAGAGGCATTTCCTCCTGAGATAAAATATGCCCGTTCTAAGATTATGTTTGATGTGACAGATGTGTGCAGCATGCCTTTTTCCTTAAAAACAAGTGTTTTTCCTCTTACACACATATATGAATATTTAATCAATTAAAATTCATATGATTAATTGGCTAAGATTTTTTAAAACTGTGCAACAGCCCTAATTATGAAAAACAGACATTTAAATTACCACCCGAGTACTTTGGATTCTGCTTGAAACCAAGTAGAAATTCATCATCCAACTTCTGACACATTTAAACCTTCACAACTTTAGTGAAATACTATGGAACTTTTCATAATGGCAGGCGCTGAAATCCTACAAAGTATATTTTATATGAAGATACAGCCATTGATCCTTAGTCCCATGGAACTCATTGGGACAGTTTAGTCATGGCTATGCTATAGATTCAGATATCCAACAGAAAATGATTCCACAGGGAATGGCCAAATGTATTATGAATTATTATTTCTAGATTGCTCTTCATCTGAAGACCACCGGATGGAATATAACACAATATAAACCAAAGAACAGAACTACGAAACTCGAGGTAGTTGTACATGGGTTTCCCAGCTGGCCTTCCATTTAGGCACTAATCTGATCCAGACCAGTTTACCTTCAGTAAGATGGATACATAGTGTGCGCCTCCAGCTAGGTCTGTGACTACCTAACTACAGGAGACATGTGTAGCCAAGGACCATACTAAAATAAATCCCTAGTCTCAACAGCTTAATTGCTTTAACCTAAATAAGTTTTCATTCAACTTTCAATAATTTAAAAACTCTTAAAGTGTAGTTTGTGAAATATGGATTGGCTGAAGTATTCTATTCTAGAGGGATAGATGATCTGTGATAGATTACAGACTTGAGAATTTGAAAGACTAGATTGCAATGCTGGCTCTACCCCACACAGGTCTCTGCTAAGGACTGAACTTTAAAGATGCAGCACTGATTGCCATTAGCAGAACAGCACTTAGAACAGCACATCACACTTAGCAATGTGATTCAGTGCAATTAATCTCCCTGGCCTTCATTTTCCTCATTCCTTAAATAGAACACAGATGCGGTTTACAATCCGAAGCACTTATATGCAAGACCCTTCATGCCAGAGCTGTCTTCAAAGGTTTCATCATCACAAACGTAGATGATGATGGTTGCAGTTTCATTATTAGAACCAGTTTGTGAGGTCAGTGGCCATGGATGCTGCACTGAAAACTTCAAAGTCAACTTCGGCTGCACGCATAATTTGCCCCTGCATATATGCATGCAAATAGCTTCCTTGGACTGCAGTCCAACTTGAGCACAAACTTTGAGAGATTCAACCTAATAATACCTGTAAAATGTATTGCGAGACTTGGCTGGGAAGATGTCCTAAAGGCAAAGAACCACGATAAAAATTTTTGCTGATGCAAGATCAAAGGATTCAGTTGTAATAGAGTGAGCTTCCTTCACAGCACGCATGATGAGATTATAAAGCGCAATATCTATGCACTTTGCATGCCAGGATATTCAGCAATTAATGTATCTCTCTGCAGACCTGAATATACATTTGAAAGTAAGTCCCACTGATTCCAAGACTTCATCACTTGTGTGTACCTGTATGTACTATTTTCATAACTCTGTCCACTGTACCTCAAGATCGCTACAGTATTTAGACCACTGGCCTCTGCTCCTGAATGCTTGCATAGACATGGATACAGTAGCACCTCGGCTTACGTTACCCTCAGGTAATGTAAACTTATGGTTGTGAAAGCGGCAAACCCGGAAGTATTTTACCGGGTTATGCCATGAGTGCATGCGCAGAAGCGGTCCTCCGGTTGCGAGAACCTCGGGATACGGCCGGACCTCCGGAATGGATCCCGTCCACAACTGGAGGAAACACCACCATATCTTTAATACCAGCACATTACCATCAGGTAGTAGTTTGATGCTGTACACAGGAACATAAGTGTTGTCCTGCTGGATTAGACCAAAGGCCATCTGGTTCAGCATAATGTTTCCACAGTGGCCAACCAGATGCCTATGTGAAGCCCTCATGCAGGACAATAGCACAATAGCACTCTCCCATTCACATTTTTCGGTATTCAGGGACATGGTGCCTCTGATCCTGGGTAGTATTGGTCTAATTCCCCTTTCAAAGTCATCAGCCATCAGTATATTTGGTGACAGTGAATTTCATAGTTTTTTTGCATCCCCCACCCCCGATAGTTTTGCTGAATGACCCTAGTTTCTAGTATTATGAGAGAAAGTGAAAAACTTACCTCTATCCACTTTCTTCACCATGCATAATTTTATATATTTCTATCATCTGGCACACTCCCACCCCCAGCCTTTTTCCTAAACTAATCCCTCCCTGCAACACTACATCTGGACATCTGGAGATTCAACACTACATCTAACATCTGGAGATTCATAGGTTCCCCACCCTGTTTCAGATGGGCATGTGTATTACCTTATTTAAAAAAAAAATAATACTCCACTTTTCACCACATCTGGGTCTCAAAGTGACTTACAAAAATTAAAACAAACAATAATTTAAAACATAGATTAAAATATCATAGAATAAAACATTAGAATAGGATTTATGGTGCAATGTCCTCCTGAAATAAAACCATTTTTAACATGGTGTTTGAAACTTAGCAGGGATGGTACCTGCCTGATGCCAACGGGACATTCCATAGAGTTGGACCACTAAATTGAAGGCATGACTCATCACTAACATAAGCCATGCCTCTGGTGCATGAGGGACCACTAACAGCGTTCCCCCAGATCATCTCAGTTACTATTCCCTCCTTGATCTGCTGCTGCTACATTCCTAATATACTAGAGCAAAGAACTCAAAACAAAAATAGAGATATAAAAAAATACTCTGCGCACAATTTCTCATTTAAAACTCCCTTAAACCATGATGCCATCATTACTTAGAAGAATTAAATGGAGTTTGCTTCTGCTGCCCTGATGCTATACACACTTGCCTGAGAATAAGAACCATTTTGTTGGTGAAATGGAGGCTATATTTTTAATGTAAAAATAATAAAATGAGCAACTATTAAGTATGAACATAGGTTAGGAAAGTTGACTGGTCCAGTGATAAGCAATGGTATGACAGATAACTATGTGGTACTGGACTGATATTATGTGTCGCTAAAAGAAAGACCCTGTACATACTCAGAGGCTCTCATATTAAAGAGTTCTTCTCTTCAAGCATGTCAGTAACCAAAAGATAAAAGCTTGTACTTAAACATTTATATCTAACTAACATAGTGCAAGTCTGAGCAATAATATTTTTTTAAGAATGCCAATAAATCAAAATACCCACTCCACAAATACCTTAATCTATTCCTATGTCCAAGTAAAATGGGATACATAGACTTCATTCCAGCCAAAAATCAAAGAACATCTCTATAATGCCTTTATAGTGCAATCCTACGCATGTAGGTTCTTTCAGAAGCAATTCCTGTGTTCAAAGGAGATTACTCCTGAGTATGTGTATAGAACTGCAACCGGTGTTTCCAGTGCTCCTTACTTCTGTGCAGACCTGCATGGGATTGCACTTAAGCCCCTCTTAATTTTACTTGTGTTCATTCACAGCTTTTAAGAGTACATACCAGAACACATCATTTCAATATGCATAAGAAACCCCTAACTAAACCTGAAGGCACTGTCTCCAGCAATAGTCACAGGCTTAGCCTACAAAATCATACTCCCTTAATCTTTAATTAACACTGGTATGCATTATTTACTGCAATACATCCCAAAAGTGTGTGCAGTGTGGTGCAGACTCTTACCTAACATTAATTTATTGTAAGAGTTTCTTTAATACGGCCTAAAATCCAAATTTCATTGAAGCCAATGGAAGATTCCCACTGGTCTTCAAAGGGTGTTGGATTCAGACATAAGGCTGATGCACATTTATCTTAATGAGCATTAAGGACAACTCTGCAGCTCATTAATGCAATCACTGTCTGGTAACATCACCTAGCATTAGGGAGCAATTTCAAAACAATCACACTGCAGAGTATTTCCATTTTTCATCAGAGGTATCATAGAAAGTTGGCTGTTCTACCTCATTGCTCTTGCTTTGTGAAAGGGCCAGGCTATCATTTGTCAGCTCCTCCTCATCAGCACTATTTCTGCTAAGAGCTTTCGCTTTTTTCTTCTTGGATCCGCCATCACTAGCAGTACTGCTGTTCTCCTCCTCCTCCTCTTCCTCATTGCCTTCCTCTTCATTGTCATCCTCCTCACTCCCGCTCCCATCATCTTCATCATCCTCGTTATCTGCATCACTTCCCTCTTTACGTAGTGTGTTTTTCCCCTTCCTCTTCCCAGCAGTTGGACGCCAGTCATTGTCATCTTCACTGTCATAGTCATCTATGTCATTCAGCTCCTCCATGGAAACAAAATCTAGCAAAGGGCGGTTTCTTCGCAAATTCCATTTTTTGGGTTCATTTGTCTGCTCATCAATGCCAGCATCCACTTCTGAGGGTTTCTCTTTCTCTTTTTTCTTTCTAGACTTCTCTTCTCCATCCACCTCCTCCTCCTCCTCCTCCTCTTCCTCTTTCTCAGTTTTAATCACCTCTTTCTCCGTTATGGGCAGCTCTTCTCCACCTGAGCTTTTAGGTTGTTCTTCCTCTACTTTTTCTTCTTCTGCCAGCTCTTCCTCCAATATATGTTCTTCTGAATCACTACAGGAACCTTCGCCGCTATCCTTTGATCCATCTTCACTGCCATGTCCACTGCCTTCAGAATCTGTTGAGCATATGAAAATTTAAAAAAAGAGTTCCAAAGCAAAATGAACCAAAAAAGAAGTGTTTTTTTGTTTTTTTTAAAGGCTTGAGGCAACCAACTTAGTCAACTTAAATATTCTTAATAGCCTATTCTTCATCTGGCTCAATTTTTTCTCTCCAATTGAATTAGCTTTTTTAGTATTGCAAACCTACTGATGAAGAATGATTTGTATTTTATAGAACAGCAAGAAGCTCTGTCTCTATTACCCTGCATAATATGAATAGGAAGGAAAGCTTTTTTATATATTCAGCTCAGCACCCAAACTGCTTCATGAAAGCATGTTACACTAAACTGAGTAGCTGATTTAAAGAATGTGAGTACACAGTTTCACACAGAATTGTGCCCACAATGTAGTTATTTCACAATTTATGGTTTTTAAAAAATGACTATTTTTTATAGCCTTGCATGACTAAAATTCAATGTCTGCACCAAGCGATTTGAAATGTTTTCCAGTTCTAGCACTGGGGCATCAAAATGTTGTTGGGGGTGCTTGATTTTGAAATGTAGAGTGGTTTTGTTTTTGGGTTTTTTTGGTTAAACATCATAATTCAGTACAATACGAAATACTAGCTGTCATTTTATAATACTCTTTGATTATAACAATACAGTTATGTGATAATAATACAATAATTAAAGGAAACCTAAAGTTAAAAGAAACTACCAGCACTTCACAAATATGAAATCGTATCAATGAAAACTATTACTTGCCTGCAACCTTAACACTGCAACTTTTGATACCTGGTGCAAGTAGAATACTTTTATGATCAGTCAATACGTTACCTTTGTGGGGGGGGGGAACACTACAGGTATTTATAACTCCAAATCTACTAGTATATGAAAAATTATTCTATAGAGAGTACTGGTATAATTATTCATTGCTCACCATTTTACTTTACATGCCATCCTACTCACAAATAAGAATGTATTGTGTCCCCATAAAATGCAATCCTATCATCATAGGCAGCTACACATCAATGCAAAGAGCACCAGTTCCTCTTAACTCAATTAAGACTTTTGGAAATACAAAAATGGTCTAATCAAGATTTTCTTCCACACTGCCATGTTTTAGCCAACAGCAGAAATATGACATTAGTGTGTTTAAGTGTAAAACTCATAGTAAAGAACACATTCAACTATATTTCATAAATAACAATGCTTTGGGAGCCCTTTTGGAAAAAATCCAGAATAAAAATAAACATTGAAATGACTACTTTTAACACCTTGCTGTTCCCTATTTGCCCAAGTTTGCTCAGAATCACCAGGAGCATATGCAAATCATCTTTGACAAATTACCAACAGCATACATGAATAGAATTAGTTTCAGCACTTCTTTGGTTAGGTCAGTTGCAGGTGTGGCAGAACCTAATCACAATAATCTTCATTTGTGTGAAGAACCTAACATGTGACCTGATACCTCCAAAAATAGAACTGTAGGTTCATATAAGCAAATTTTGTGACCGTAGTAGTTGAGAAGTCATGAGTATCACTTCCAGTGTCTGGGTCACATACTAAGTTGTCCATTTGAATATATCCTGCAGGAATGGGAAAAGTTCTTGCATCACTTTGGAGCAGACAGAAGCAGCATGGTAATATTGCACTGTTTCTGCATGGCCCAAAGCTCAGCACAATATGAAGATCCCTCACCCCTGCCCCACCGTCTTGCACAGACACATAACTCAATGTTGATAAATAATGTCTAACTAGTAAGACAACTACCATTTATGCAGTCAATTCAATCTGACCAAACACCACCTGTCCAAGCAGCCACAGTATTGTGTAATTTATCTTATTACTGTATTAACAAGTAGAAAGAGACATTTTGTTTAACCAAAAATGTCAACACAAAAATAAAAAGTGATGGTAAAAAGTGTCGTGAATATTTCAATGACAAAAAATACAGAAATATATTTCATTCATATAATAATGAATATATAACTTGACAAACAAGTCATCTATTACATCTTGGCTTTACTTGCTTATTGACACTGACAATATTTATTGCTTAAATAAATGTCTGTACATATTTGTGCTATTAAAACATTTTAGGGTTTTCATATGTTGCAGATGTTGCTGCAAATTTATTATGCTTTTTGTGATACACAAATGACATGAGATGACTTGGTCTATTTATTTGTATCATTTATTATTCCTATGATCCTTGTTTATAAAACCCAATAAAAAGTAATTCAAGGGGGGGATTAGGTTTTTTTAACTGCAACTACTATATTTTCATGTAAATCGTGGGGAAGAAAAAACTAAACTGGGTATGCAAACTAAACTGGATGATATGTACAAAACATTTCTAACCTGCCAAGCAACTGAGGATCAGAACCCAAGATGTTAACTCTGTCAACAAATTTACCAACCTAATTTGCCTGTCACTAGGCAAGACTTACAAATAACAGATTTTAAACAAAGTTATCCTCTCTTCAAAATACTAAATGCTGTGCCTGTAGGAAGATGTGCACATGTAGAAGTGCACATATGAGAATGACTGGGTTAGAGACCAGCTGTCTGTACAGTATGTAGCGAAAATCCTTACAGATATCAGTTACCAGTAATTTTCGAATTTGTATACCCCTGGTTGTAGAAAGCCTATTTCAAGATACTGAAATGAAAAAAGAGGTTCATGGCCTATTTGTGCTATGCTAGCATTAAAAGCAAAACAAAGCAAAGCCAAACACTTCAGCTAGAGCAGTTGGCTTACTGCCCCCAGGAGACAGTGGGATTACTTAGGGTCATCATGAGGGGCTGGAGGTGTAAATGACTATGAGACTCTGAAGAGCAGGAATCACTGGATTAAGTTCATCAACTTTGTTGAAATAATTAAACTAAATAGTTTTAATTGCATTTTGAATAAAAGTGGAGTTAACTATTATTGTTTTGAATTTTATTGTGCTACAGTATTATCTTCATTAGTGGTACGTGCAAATCATTATTCTGAATGATGCCTTTTATAGGGTAGGTTATGGGGCACTGAGGATGTGTTTATGAAACCAGGGTGCTAACCCTAAAGTTTGAGAACCACTGAGCTGGGAAAAGTGTGTTTTGTTTGAACTGAGCTCAGCAGACTAAACATTCTGGCAGCAAGCCATGATATGAAGTCATGGTTTGTTGCTGGCTTACTATGGTTTGGCATATGTATGATTCCAACAATACTGCTTAACAACAGTTTGTTTGGTGAGTGTTTTGGATGGTACATAGTCAAGAGCAGCAGAAAAACAAACCAAGCTTTGGAGGAACAAACCATGGTTATAGATGGAGAAAGCTATAGATTTCTGAAAAAACATGGTTAAAACAAACCATGGCTTAGCACTGTAAGGGATAAATCAGAGTTTCAATGGAAGATGGCAAAAAGAAAGAACAAAAAGGGCTTGTAAAATCTTGGGCTTTTCATTTATCTCACTTACATCTTGGTTGTTATCTCTAATATCAAAGGGCCATAATGTACAGTTTCCTCACAATAGTTATATAAAGATGACTTGAGGACAGTAAACAGTGATTCTGAAAGAGCCAGGAAATTTAATTTAGGGACAACCTCTAAAATAAACTCAGGTAAACCTGTATTGCAAAGTAAACCAGTTGCAAGTATTATTATTTATTGTGATACAAATACTGCTATTTATTGTTATCAGTCTCATTTCAAGACTCCAGTAAAATACAAATCAAGGCTTTGTGTCATCAACTATAAACAAAATTGTCACAAAGCTGTAAGATTCAGCATTTTTCATTCAAAGTTTTGAAGAATTAAAATGTGACTGAACTTCAACATTCTTATGCAACAGAAGCTGCAAACTTTAACATCCACCATCTCTATACACTAACATGACAATTCAATTATTCTCAGACAACTATGGAGACAAAAAGCAATGCTATATTTCACTCACTTTATTTAAAATATTGCAAATAAAAATATATAAAAGAGGTACTCTTTTAAACTGCATTAACCAACACAGTATGCAAGCTTGCAAAATTTTAGAGATAAGAGACATCAAACTTGAATTATTTCTATACATATTATATAAGGTATTGTATTACAGTCGTACCTTGGATCCCAAACTCCCTTGAACTCGGATGTTTTGGCTCCCGAACGCCACAAACCCGGAAGTGATTGTTCTGGTTTGCGAACGTTCTTTTGGAACTCGAACGTCCGATGGGGCTTCCACGGCTTCTGATTGGCTGCAGGAGCTTCCTGTAGCCAATGAGAAGCAGTGATTTGGTTTTCGAAAATTTTGGAAGTCGAACAGACTCCCGGAACAGATTCTGTTCAACTTCCATGGTACAACTATATATTATTAAATATTATATTATCTGCTTCAGAAAAGTAGATCAAATTGATAGCGACTTGCAAGACCACCTTCCATACTGAAATTCAAAATTCAAATCCACATGTAAATGTGATAATATGGCATTTATATAATAATTTAGGCATGTGCACATCTTCAAAGAGGTTTTGCTTGATGCTCTGAAACAGTGAATGTAGATGTATACCTATCACAATGTGAATACTTAAAAACACCCCAGTGGGTGAGGATGAAATAAGGACTGCATCTCCCATGGTATGAACTTTGAAGTGGTCTACCTCATCATCACAAACCTGCTTATAAATGCATATTCACATGGTTTTGAAGTGGCAGTGTGGCCAAAGCAGACTTCTCTTCATGAGACATTGCCCCAAGCCAACACCTGGTTGCACAGGCAAAGCTGGTAACCACATGGAGCTATTTAAGTAAGTGCTAATCTGACTTATCACTTATAACAACCTCAGATCAATTTCTGCAATGGCTTTCAGAGCAAAGATGGTGAATGTCCAGCCTGCAGGCCAAAGTTGGCCTGCCATGGATCTCAATATGGCCCATGAAGTCATTTTACCCATTTCACCCAAACTGCACCTGATGTCTTATGCAATGTCATGTGTGCAGTACATACTGATGTGGCTTCAAAGGAACAACCAGGAGCTTACAGTGAGTTCCTGATTCCTTTTTTGCTGGAGCAAGGCATGCTAGCTCCACTCATCAACCAATAGGTGGTGAGGTAATGCCTTTCTCTGAGAAAGCAGTTAAGCACTGGAACCACTTGTAAAGCAATTAAGCTTTAAAGGAGTCTTCTATTTGAACCACCAGAAGGGTTTTTTTTTAAAAAAAATGTCCTTCCTCTATTGTAATTAGTGTATGTACCTTTGTGTGTGTAGCAGAATGAGTGAAGCATGGGTGAAAAAGCAAAATCTGACATAGTACATGCATAGCCAAAGCTGCCCTTACTTTCAGTGCATAGTTCTGAGACAATGAAAGCGCCAACAAGACTGCATAAAGCTAAGCTAGTCTGAAAGACAGAAGGAATCCTCCTAGATATTCTGAAATGTACATCCTTCTTACATGCAAAATCTATCCAACTGTTTAACTGGACTTTGTAACTATTCAACCAGAAGTTGATGTGTCGCATCCAACTCTTTGCTGAATTCAGAATAACCAAATATACAGCTCTAGGCCCCATCCCCATCATGGAAGAATCACTGTTTCTTATCCCCAGCAGTAGTCAGTCATTGCACTGATCACAGGACTTCCTGAAGGTTAGCAATGTGTCAATAAGTATATGGATAGGTTTTGGGCAAGAAAAAACTAAAGATTTTAAAATCATATAATTGGAAGACTAGAAGAGAGAGGGGAAAGTGGCTTGCATGACTGTACTGTTGGAAAGCTGGCTGAAACGGATCTGGGTCACAATCATATTGACTTACAGATACGGGGGGGGGGGGAGGAACAGGGCAGCAAACTATTGTGTTCACAGCAGTGGTGGGGAATGTGCAGATGTTGTTGGGACTCCAACTCTCATCAGCTCCAATCCACATGGCTAATGATGAGATTATGGGAGCCCAAAAACATCTGGATAGCCAGTTTCACTACCCCAAATCAGGGAGAGGGGATCAAGGTAGAAAATGACACATGGGATACTGCAGTTATGTGGAGCAAAGACTACCTGAAAGAACATGCCAAAGAGCTCAAGATCTCAGGCTGTCCACCTTGCAGCAGGGAAGAGGGGAGGGGCCTAGATCTCTTTATTTATAAATCCCAAACCTCTCCCAACTTTCTAACCCTCAAGACCTTGCTGCCTCATGCTACATTCTACACTGCTAGTCATTCACCCAGTAAAAAAAAAAAGGCAAAGGACCCCTGGACAGTTAAGTCCAGTCAAAGGCGACTATGGGGTGTGGTGCTCATCTCGCTTTCAGGCCGAGGGAGCCGGCATTTGTCCACAGACAGCTTTCTGGGTCATGTGGCCAGCATGACTAAACCGCTTCCGGCGCAACGGGACACTGTGACAGAAACCAGAGTGCATGGAAACGCCGTTTACCTTCCCGCCGCAGCGGAACTTATTTATCTACTTGCACTGGCATGCTTTTCAAACTGCTAGGTTGGCAGGAGCTGGGACAGAGCAATGGGAGCTAACCCCGTCACATGGATTAGAACTGCAGACCTTCCGATCGGCAAGCCCAAAAGGCTAAGTGGTTTAGACCACAGCGCCACCCTCATCAATTTACCCAGTATCCCCTCAGCACTTGCTAAACTCAACTACATTAGAATTTTAACTTCTAAAGCAAAAAACAAAAAAACACTTGTGCTATATATACATAACCGATGTTCTCATCCTTTCAGCAGATCAGAAGTCAAAAGGTAACGGTAGTTTACTTTTACGAGCAATTAAATAAAGCATAACTAGTGGAAGAACCCTACAACACAAAACTATGTCAAAACGGGAAAAGCAGAAAAAAGGCGTTTACCTGAAGCATCTCCAACCTTAAAGTCACTGTCATCTGAACTGTCATAATCTAAAACTTCCAGCAGGGAAGCTGCCAAGGGCTTCACCTGCCGCCTCTTCGAGCTGCGATCCACTGTGGGGAGAAAAAGAAAAGGACAGAGAGAGGCATGCATGTTTCTTTTGTGACCAGCTGTTGGTGGGGGAGAAAAGAAGAGTACCGAAAACCATGTGGGGCTTCAGAACTCTGGCACGACGCGAGTTTAAATTTGCAGAGAAAGCTGGGTTGTGGGAATGCAAAGCAGGGCTGGGTCGGGGGAGGCTCCCTTGAAGGCGGGATGGTCTATGCCCACCCCCAGCACAAAATGAAGCCACGGGAGGGAGGGAGGATGGGGCGCCCCGCAGCAGCCCCTGGACGAAGCCCGCCGCCGGGCACAGGGCGCCAGCGGCTGAAGGAAAAGCCCCGCTGCCGGCGGCCGCAGGTTCCCAGCGCAGGGAAGCGGGCAGGGAGGAAGCCCTCGCGGGCGCCGGCGCCTTGACTTACTCACTGGAGCCGAGCAGCCGCTCGCGGGCACATGAGGAGGCAGCCCTCAGCCCCGAGCCCGGCAGGCTCCCCTCTAGGCGGCAACCCCGCGCTGAGGAGCGAGAGGCTGCGCGGCGTCCCACAGGCCGCCTCCGTAACCCAGACAATAGGCGAAGCCTCGCCCCGGATGCAGTTCCCCGCCTGCCGAAACCAAAAGCAGGAACCGACCCGCCGCTAAGGAGCAGAGAGCTTCCGCCTGGGGGGGGCGCGCAGCCGCGCATGTGCAAAAAGGGCCGCACAGGCGCGTTGGGAGGAACGAAGGGCTTGCCCGCGCTATGGTTCCTGGCACAGGGACGTGGTTTTCCTATTCAGTGCGGCGGAAGCCGGAGGGGATCGCACGGCGAGGGTTGGCGGGGTTATTATGGAGGCGGCCCGGCCGGGTTTCCGTCTAGCTCTCCCTGTCCTCTTTCTCTAGTCTATCGCATTCCTTGTCCAGAACCCCGAGGATCCTGCAGTCCCCTCTTTTTTAAACGGCAAAATGTATTTGCAATTTTATTTTTTCAGGCGTAAGAGGGACAATGCTATAAACGGCATATGGGTGTCATCACTTGGAAAGAAGCACGAGTATTTTCTCATGTGACGTTTACATTTTAGAGGAACACACGGCCCCCGGCTTACAATATTTCATCCGTTGAAAAGGCATCACTCCAGGTTTGCACCCACGAGGTGGAGATTCTGTTCATCTGAATACACTTCTGTTTCTTATCAATGGAAATGTAATACACACATTGCTCACGTGTCCCAGTGCTTGATTTACATATGGACTAATCAGGTTGCATCTCAGAGCCTTGTAATCTAGCGGGTCCTTAGCCTCTTGCCATTAAAAGAAAAAGGGGAAAAAAGCAGAGTTTACTATCTAAGCATAGAAAACAATAAACTGGGACTTGCTGGTTTTAAAGATATAATTGATAAGTTTGCATCCAAGAGAGCTCGAAACTGATATATGAGATTCCCCTATGATTGTTTTGTGTGGATGTCTTCATTAATTCCATATTTCTGTAAACTTATTAACGGTTATAAAATTATAAACAATATTTTTTATCAATGCTAAAATTTCAGCAACATTCTACTTTCAGTGTTTCTCATGGTGTTATAAATTTGGTCCTCCCAAGGTCTCCTAGCACAGGGCCTCCTATTGCTTTAATCCAGATTTGCACAACATTTAAAGCACACATAACCCCAAAGAATTCTGGGAACTGTAGTTTACCGCTCACAGAGCTAAAGCTCCCATCACTCTTGACAAATTAAAGTTCCCAGAATTCTTTGAGGGTTGTTTGATGTGCTTTAAATACTGTATATGGTGTGTGTGATCACTTGGAAGCAGTTTGGCCTGCATATTTGTTTATTTCCACAGTTTATACATGTTTATCACTGTAGTATCTGATTGGTGTTCAGTACAGTTACAAAAGATAGAACAGAGATAAACTTTGTTAAAATTTATCATAGAATCAGAAACATTGAAGATAAAAAGGTATTCACCAAGTACCAAGAGTTCAATTGATGGATATTGCTGTTGTAAAAATAAATGGGAAAAATGAAATACAAGCCTGCTCACCCTTGCAAGTACAGCGGTACCTCAGTTTCCGAGCATATCGGAAGTCAAACATTTCGGTTTTCAAATGCCTAAAACCTGGAAGTAAATGCTTCCTTTTTCGAACATGCTTTGGAAGTTAGATGGCTTCCACAGAGGTTTTTTTTTTCAATTTTCTCTTTTAAATTTGCAGGCCACCCTTTGCGCCTCAGTTTTCAAACGTTTCCGAAGTTGGATGGTCTTCCAGAACGGATTGCATTCAAAAACTGAGGTACAACTGTATTTTACCATTTCAATAATATACAAAGCTAATGTTCATTCAAAGCATTTGGATAGGACATGGAAATACGGTACACACTGCAGGGATAACTCCCCCCCCCCAATTCCAAATGCCACAGTGCCCTCTAATGACCTGCATCTGAGTGGTGAAAAAGTGGGTGTGGCCAGAAAGGGAGCTGGACTACTCCACAATCTCCTGAAGATCCATATATACCCAAGTGTACAGTGGTGCCTCGCAAGACGAAATTAATCCGTTCCGCGAGTCTCTTCGTCTTGCGGTTTTTTCGTCTTGCGAAGCACGGCTATTAGCGGCTTAGCGGCTATTAACGGCTTGGCGGCTTAGTGACTATTAACGGCTTAGCGGCTTTAAGAAAAAGGAAACAAACTCGCAAGAACTCGCAAGACGTTTCGTCTTGCGAAGCAAGCCCATAGGGAAATTCGTCTTGCGGAACGACTCAAAAAACGGAAAACCCTTTCGTCTAACGAGTTTTTTGTCTTGCGAGGCATTCGTCTTGCGGGGCACCACTGTACCAACATGCACACACTGCACACTCACACGTGTGCATATACACATAGAGCCCCTTTCCTGTTCCTCAGAATGACATGGAATGATTTAAATTGTTCAGCCTGGCACTGTGACCCAGTTCACCATTGGTGGCAGCACTGAAGAAAGTGCATCTCCTGCCCTCTGCATCAAAATGCTCCAGAAGCAGGAAAGAGTTCTCCAGTCTTCTTTGATCAGGAAACATAAGAATATACCAGAGCATTCCTTCCTGTTTCTGGAGACCTCTGGTCCACAATGGCAGTGGGTAAAGCAGAGGTGATTTGTTCAGCATTCTGGTTGTAGTATGTTGGGTCACTGGTGGTGGGACATGGAAAAAATACTTGATAGGCCAGATCATGCTTGTTGAGTGGAAGTTTATCACTCAACCTAAAACAAATCCATAATTCCACCCTAACACTTATGTCAAGGATGGAGAACCTGTGGTCCTCCAGATGTTGTTGAACAATAACTCATAGCATCAAATGTTGGCTGGGGCTGATGGAAATAGGAGTGTACTTAATCTTGATAGACCAGCACTCCGAGTGAGATCTGGGAAATAAAAATGGTGGCCACTAATAGCAGCACTGCAGCCCACCCACTCAAAGAATAGATGTAAAACACACAGAGACTTTAATGGCTTGTGAGTTGGGTACTTAAAGTGGGAGGAAAGGGATTTAGGCCCAGCCTTAGCTTAGATCTAGATCCAGAGTACAATAGGCAAACCATGGTTTAAAGTGACTTGTGCATTTTCATCTTCCATCTGCTCAGCCTCATGAGCCTACCCCTATTCTCACAGTGCAGCAAGGCAGAGAAGCTCCGTCGTCCGTGGTGTGGCAGCCTGTTGAGGCACAACAATGACCAAAACGGTGTATAACAGTTCTACACATTTAGTAGCATAAACTGTGGTTTGCTAGCCAATGTCAACCCCTGCCCTGATATCCTGGGTAGGCAGTTCTTCACAAGCCATTGTTGGTAAACCGGCCTAGGTAAGCACCAGTGCAGACTGGTGACTTGTTGAGACAATAAAGTTTTGTGAAAAACAAGAAGCCTTTTGCCATCAACTTCAAGGCTGGAAAAACAACAACCCTCTCCAACAAGTAAATAGTCTGAGGGTGTTTTCTTCCTCTCCTGTCGTCTTGATTCCACCCCCACCCCCTTTTGCTGCAAAACAAAATCTACTTCTCTTCTCTCTTTTTTACAAAGTAACACCTAAGTCCTTTATTAACCCAATTTTTCTTTCAGTGTGCTGGTGTCAGTGATGAGCCCACGCTCAAAGGGACTTTTTGATGTCTTTTGCTGCATGCCGGAAAACGAAGAATCAAAATATGCTGTATTTTCCTTATCACATAATTTTCACCTCAATCTAGGCTCCGCTGATCAAATAAAGGAAGATAAGAATTTCTATCTCTGAAGTCTTATCACAGCTATATTACACACAATCATACAATGTGATTTTTACAGGCATATTGTATGTATGCTTCAAAGGCGGGAGACAGGCCTCAGTGCTCACATCAAAACATCTCATTATCCACCCCTCAGAAATGTACTAATGCGGCCTTCCACATTTAAATGGAAATGTCTTTAAGAACAAAGATATTATGCTAAGAAAAAGGAAATATTTCCCCACAGTAATTGGCAGAGCGCACAAAATAGAGAAGGTTCCTAAAGCTGCAATCCAAAATGAAGATTGTAACCCTGGCAATCCCTTTCAGACTTCTGCCTGCCCATGTCCCACCACAGGTTCCTTATCAGCTAAACCATAAAGCTATCAGATCATACAAACGTGCCACCTGCTTTTGTACACATTATTAAATCTAGCCGTACGGCTGAATCGCTTTGGCACACCAAAGCTGTGGTCCTCACACACACATTTATTCATATGTAAATTCCTTTAATTTTCATGGAACTCGCTCATAAACTGCTGAGAGGCACTGTTATTCACAAGAGTCGCTGTGTCTGAAAAAATGTGGAGGGCCATCTGTGTGTTTCGCTAAAGAGTGTCCTCATGAGGGATGCTACTCAAGACTTGAACAGCTATCAAAGTAAAGGGTGAGAGGCACGGGTTGTCTTCACTGAACAGTCACTTCCATGGGAATGGGAATGTTGCGCCAACATGAAGATCTCAGTGGTGGCTTGGGGCACCACTATTTTAGGGTTGTCAACAAAGCATTGTGTGGCTGAAGACGTATGCCTCAGAACTAGTTGCCACAATCATTGCACCATGCAGTGCACTATCCTTGCATCATGCAATGGAACTGCAAAATGTGTCAGACCAGCTTTAGAAGTCCCGCTAAAGAAACAGGCACTTCTCTGTGAGCCCAGATATTTATGCACATAGAACACATAAGATCTTTTATGTTAGGTGGATACCTCCATCTAACATATACAAGGGCAGTAGCATCTCCTGCATGGAACTAACAAGCAGAATTCACTGCAATAGTCAGACCATAGTTTACAAAAGTATTGTTATGAGTTGGTGGGTGCTAAATTCCTGGGTCTAACAGGAGTTATAATTTAATCAGTGGAGTGTTAAAACCAGGAGGTAGCCAGACCCTGGTGAAATCAAGACACATATAAAAACCACTCTGAAAATGCTTTTTTAAAAAGTGTTTTTAAAAAGCACATTGAAGTTTCTATTAAGCTCACCATCGCCATCTAGTGTCACATTGTATATTGCACGTAAAACACACTTGAAATATTTTATTTTCAGCTGTATACAGTGGTACCTCGAGTTAATT